ATATTCTATGAAGCACTTTGAGACGTCGAGAAGACGTGAGAAGCGCTATATCAAATGCAAGGATTATTATTATTATTATTATTATAGCCCCCGCCCCAGCAAAACCCCCCCGATCCGCCCACCACAGATCCCAGCATTGACCACGGTCACCCACGCAGCATAGCCCCCCCTTAACCCAGCACAGCCCCTGATCCTCCCAGCATAGCCCCCCACCAACACAACCCTCCCACACTCAGCACAGCCACCCGACGCCCATCACAGCCCTCCCCCAATCCCCAGCACAGATCCCTATGCCCAGCACAGTCCCCCACAAACAACCAGCAGCGTCCACTCCTGCGCAGCACAGTCCCCTCCTGCCCAGCACAGCAACCCCACACCTAGCACAGCATCACCACCGCCCAGGAAAGCCCACCCAACAGCACAGCACAACTCCTCGAACCGCCTAGAACAGTCCCCTCCTGCCGAGCACAGCGCCCCCACCTCCACCCAGCACAGTCTCCTCCTGCCCAGCACAGACCCCCCCCCTTCCAACACAGCTCCTCCGCCCTGCACAGCCCAGACCCAGCACAGAGCCCCCTCCCAGCCCTGGCCACCAAGCAGAGCTCCCCACCCAGCACAGTGTCCCCGCCCAGCACAGCCCACCCCCCAACCCAGCACAGCCCCCTCACCCAGCACAGACCCCACACCCAGCACAGCCACCCCACCCCCCCAACACCCCTCCGGCCCAGCACCCAACCAGCCAGTACAGCCCCCCAACTCCTCCAGCCAGCCCAGCCCCCCACCCAACCCTGCACAGGCAATCTCCGCTAAATTTTAACAATCAATACAACTGCATTACGGACGTGGTGGTGATGAGAAACAAATACAGAAAGTAAAAGTTAAAAGTAAAAAGTTGCTGCGTCAATGTTTTGTTTCTGGAAATGAAACACAAAAATATTGTTTATAATAATCCCAGCATTTAATCTAGTGCCTGATCATGTAGTTACGACATCTCAAAGAGCTTCACAGAATACACTGAATTGACTGTATATTTTGTGGGCGAAAACCGCCAAAAGGTTGAAACACCCAGCCTTACGGGAATGACGCTATATAAATGTATTGTTTTTCTGTCCTTTCCTGCTCAACTGCTTTGTCATTTCACAATGAAATGAAACTGATGATTAGGAGTCTAACAATATCAAGAAGCACCTGTGGTTTCAGTGTAAAATTTAATAACCACACCTGGGTTCCTGTAAACACTTGCAAGTTTGCAGGGCTATGGGGAGAGAGAGCGGGGGGAGTGTGACTTGGTTAGCTCTTTTCAAAGAGCTGGCACAGACACAATGGGCTGAATAGTCTCCTTCTGTGCTGTATAATTCTATGATTTTATAATAGTGTTCTGGTCATTAGTTACCCTTCGAGGAATGAAAAACATCCTGGTATCACAAATTGCCCTTTGCAACTTTATATCTATTTTCTGTGAAAGGTTTGAAGTTGCTTGTAAGTGCTTGGATTTCAATTCCCTTTGAAGGAAATTCTGTATTTAAAAACAGCTTTCAATCTTAAACTGCTTTGCCGAAATTATTGTCAAGTGTGGGATGACTGGGTCTTTCTTATAGAGGCAAACTTAGCAGTCGTTTTGCATGCAGCGAAGTCTCACAAACAGCCATATGGTTCAGAATCAATAACCAATTTAAGATAATGAAGGATATTGACAAAGTAGATAGGGAATTATTTGATAATGCCAAAAAACGAAGCACAATTTTAGCATGATATCTGAGGCAGTTAAGAGCGAATGGAGAAGATATTTCTACACACAAAGCACTTAGAATGTAGAATGCATCACCACAGATCACCGTAAATTCAGAATCAAAGGGGAGACAGATAGAAACTTGGGAAGCAAGGGTTATTAATGCAATTTGAGAAAAAGGCAGTCATCAAGCCTCCTTGATAACTCTGATATCTCGCCTCAATGCCTCGCAAGCGTGAGACCTGGGTTCTACTCCCGGCAGGGCGAAATATTGGGCAAGTTTCCTTACTCCACACACCTCTGTTTATCTAGCAGTAAGTAGGAACACGGTTGTTAGTCGATTGACAGATCGCTTTCCCGAGGATAATAATCCTTAAAAGATTCACTTTACAATATATTCTGTGAAGCACTTTGCGATGTCTAGAAGACGTGAAAAGCACTATATCAAATGCAAGGATTATTATTATTATTTTCTTATCTTATGCGTCCCTATAAAAATAGTTGAAGTACCGATATTACTCAAGTACTTGTTTGTTTGGAAAACTTATTTCATAGTTTTGCAGTATTCTGCTTAACAAAACTGTTAGAATAGCACTATTAGAATAGTACTGTTAGAGTGGCAGGCTGGTAGGATAGTTCAGACACACTAAAGATTTCTGCTTCTCTGATTTCTGTGTACACGTCAGACCTTCAAACAATGCAGCACTCCCCCAGCACTGTACTGGAGTGTCATCTTAGACTACAAACTCAAAGTCCCGATATGGGAATTGAACTGTGAATCTTCTGACCCACATGATGAGAGTCTACCATCTGAGCCAGACTGATACCAGTACAGTGAATTATCTGGGTGTGACAACACAAATTTGCAAATTGGAATCTTCCATGGTCACATGTAGTCAAGGAATATAATCTGCCCAACCCTAGAAGATGGTGCGATTGATATAGGGGTGGTGTCCATGGTCTGATTGTATCACTTTTGTTTTCTGTGAATGAAGAAAGCAGCGTCGTTCAGTGTGTGCTGTGAACTAAGCTGTTGCTGTTGACTGTCTGTGAGCACTGGGTAATAATTGTAATCAATTGTGACTGAAGTATGGGGTATGCTGGTGGGAGATCAACGCAGGTTTGAGGACTGGACCAGAAAGTACCGGAGCATATTATTAGAATTTAGGAATGCTATGGTTGAGCAAGTGAGTGGATTTTTACTGGATAAACCACCCCAGGTCACTTTTGTTTATTCCAAAGGAAGAGTCAAAGTGGTGCCAATCCAGTGTCATGGCATTATTGATGTCAACAGTATCTTGAAGAGATTATGTCTATGGGAAGGGTATCTGGATTTGAGAAGTGAAGGGAATCAGAAAGTGATTAGGGATGACAGGTTGGTCAGTGTTATCTCGCAGGTGGTTGGGTGTTATTTGATAACAAAAACAACAAAGTGACCATAAAGGTAGTTCTGAGAGTTTATGTGGAAGGAAAGGTTGAGGACAAATGCAACATGGAAAAATCAGGAGAGATGAAGCAGGATGGTTTCAGTTGCTCGAGGCTCCAGCGGTGCCCCACAAGCTATATGAATACAAGTTGTTGTTGTTATTCGGTAATTTATTCTTGTTTTAAAATAACGCGAACCTGAATCTTGCACAGTTTATGCAACTCGTCCTGCCTGAAACATTCTGGAGTTTTTATGGAACGCCAAGTACTCTGAGATGTCACCTTACAGCAAGGTGGTCCAACTGACGGCCCACGGGCCACATCCAGCCCAGGGATGATTTCATCTAGCCCGAGAACCTTTTCCACCATCGAGCCACCCACTCCCTCCCTCCGGCGAAAAATGTTTCTCATTACAGCAGCTCAATGCGCAGGGAGTGGAAATAATGTTGTCCTTTGCTGCAGTCTGTCAGGGATTCCCTCTTGAGCTGAGAGGAAGACAAGTGTGTCATCCCAACTCCTGCCAATGTAGGACAGTGAGCCACCGAGGCTGGGAAAACAGCTGATCCCGTTGCCAAATAGTGAGGCATCTGGCAGATTGAAGGTGAGAGAGAGTGGTTGAGAGAGAAAGGGTGGGGGGGATGGGGAAGAGACAGAGAGAGTGATTGGGAGAGATAAAGGTGTGAGAGAGAAAGTGATTGAGAGAAGGGTGAGGGTGGGCATGGGGAGAGAGAGTTATTGCGAGAGAGGGGGGAGAGAGAGAACGATAGAGAGGGGGAGGTGGGAGAGAGCGATTGAAAGAGAGAATGGGGAGAGGGTGATTGAGGGAGGAGAGAGAGAGTGATTGGGAATGGGGTTGAGAGAGTGAATGAGAGAGTACGGGAGAGAGTATAATTGAGAGAGGAGGGAAAGACTGATTAAGAGAGAGAGGGGAGAGAGAATAATTGAGAGAGAAGGGGGAGAGAGAGTGATTGAGAGAGAAACAGGAAGAGAGAGTAATTGAGAGAAAGAGGAAGAGAGAGAGAGAGTGTGAGATAGGGGGTGAGGGGAAGAGAGAGTGTGAGATTAGCGAGTATGGGTGAGTGTGAGAGTGAATGATTGACAGAGAGAGCTCATGATGGAGAGGGAGACAGAGAGAAACAGAAAGAGTGGAGAATTGAGGGGGTGCATTTTGTGGTTTACAGTCAGGGTAGACGATGGGAGTCTCCCTCGGCTGCAGCGGGATGGAGGGGGGGACCCGAGTACAGACACCGAGCGACGTGTCGTGCAGTTTCCTCACACAAAACTGTATCTTTCCCAGTGAGAAAATCCTCCACAGCCTTCACCCCTCCCCCGTCCTCATCCTTCCTCTTCAATCTCCCGACCGAGACGTTCCTTTTGCACAACACATTTGCTTCATGTCCCCTAATCCCATCTGCTCCACCATCACCATTTTGATCCCACTCTCTGGAGCTCCATTCCTGTTGTCCCTCCCTTCCTCCTGCACCTTCGATCATGTTTTCCTCTCCCATCCCACCTCCCCCAGCTCCCACCCCCAGCTCAGGTGCCCAGCCGGTAGTATCGAGCGCTTTGAGATGTCCTTCCAACATGAAAAAGTTGCTGTGTTAATGTTATGTTTCTGGAAGTGAAGCACAAAAATATTGTTGATAATAATAATAATAATCCTTGCATTTGATATAGCGCCTTTTCACATCTTCTAGTCTGTTTTGTGGGCCACTAGAAAATCCTCAACTAATCTCTAGATTCCTATTTACTGCTAGGTAAAAGAGGAGTGTGGAGTAAGAAAACTTGCCCAACGTTTTTCCCTGCCAGGAATCAAACCCAGGTCTTCTTGCTTGCGAGGCGAGTGCTCCAACCACTGAGCTACATTCCGTCATGTGAGTGGTGTATAAATACAAGTTGTTGCTATGAGATATATCCCTTCATTCCTGTCCTACAGGTTTTACATCTTTATTTTAAAGACCTAATTTACAGTTCTGCTGTTTCCTTGATGATTAAATGGATCATTTGATATGGTACTGAGCCAAACAAATCATCCAATGACACCTTCATTCCCTGGTGTATATCAAGCCAGATGATCTGAGCCAGGCTGGTATTGGTGACATGCCAATTAGCTTCAGTATTCCTGGGATAGGAAGACGAAAACTAACCAGCCTGAGAAAAATAACAAATGACCAAAAATAACCAGCCTTTTACGTCAAGAAGATCTCTCAAAGCGCTGCAAAGAAGTGGCTGGGAGCCTGACTCGGGGAGCTGTGGAGGGGGATGGTGTCAAATGCCAGGTAGAAGAGCCAAGTTGCAATGTTGGCCCTGAAAAAGGAGAGGAAGCGGGCAAGGTGAAGGTCTCCATAGACTGTGGGCAGAGTACCTGGACTCTCACCCACCAATGGTGGAGTGAAGAGAGGAGAGGACGTGAAACAAGCCGGCGTGCACTGAGTGGTGGAAGCGGCTAGGGCAGGAGTTTAGCAGGAGGTCGCAGAGGTTGGAGGGATTGGACTGCAAGAGCAAGAATCCTGAATTTGATTCACTAGGGGAGAGGGAGCCATAGGCCATGATAGGCTCATGGAGCCTGGTGCAGGAGGGCACATATGCTGCAGAGTTCTGGATGCTCTTCAGCTTGTGTGGTGAGGAGTTGGGCAAATACATTTAGAAATATTAACCTCAGTGGATTTACTATTATCTACTATTTGCTGTAATTCTCGCTTCTCATAAAATAGTTTTGAACAGTTGTCATTCCTTAAAGCAGATCGTATTTGAGCTGACAGCTGACTGCACCACCATGAACAATGCTAAAAGAGAACCAGAAGCCGGGCAGAGCCTAAATCCATTGCAATATGCAGTGTTGGCTGCAGTGTTCGGAACGGCAGTTAGTGAGTATTGAGATTTTACCTTTTGATTACTAATGTGATAATCTTGTAAAATAATAGGTGGATAGAGGTGCAGGACCTTACAGCTTGAGTTAAATGCATCCCACCTACACATGGAAATCACAGAGATAGATTGTTGGATTGAATGCGCACTCTCTCCCTGGAGGGACTCATCCTGCTTACTGGAAAGTGGAGTCCTGTAGCTCAGTGGTTAGAGCTCTCGCCTCGCAAGCGAGAGACTCGGGTTCTATTCCCGGCAGGGCGATATATGATGGAGGCAACAAGTTTAGAGAATGAGATCAGGCTCATTAATTTGGAAGCAGCAAAGGACCAAACAAATCAAAGGCCTCACTTCCCAAGCGGATTACTTTGTGGATTACTTCAGTAAAACACTGTTGTGTCTCATCACTTTAGCACACACCTAAAAACTGTCTCTTTCCCATTTTCTATAGAGTACAACTGTGGGCCAGCAGTGTAGGGTGGAGAAATAATAATATTTAACAATCCTTGAATTTGATACATCGTTGAGACATCTCAAAGCGCTTCACAGAATACACTCTAAAGCAAATTGACTATATATTTTGTGGGTGAAAGGCGGCAGAAATATGATACACACACACGAACACACCAACAGAGAGTTTTATTGAGGCAGAGAAAGACAGAGAGAGAAAGTGTTAACCAACTTTTGAACAACTTTTCTCCAGGACGTAAAAGGACGTCCTCCTGACGTGAAAGGTGCTATACAAATGTAATTGCTATGTTTGTTACAAACAGTCACTGCACTTTACAATACATTTTGTGAAGTCTCTTGAGATGTTTTGACAATGTAATAAGACACTATATCAAATGTAAGAATTATTATTATCATTATTAATACTGCTTCCTTGTGCCACAACAAAATACTGAAAACCATCTTAATTTTGTTTTTTAAGGATATATCCAGAAACTGAATGCAAAGGATAAGGAACAGATTGAAAAATATAAACAACTGAAAAAAATGTATGACAGCAATGAAAAAAAGAGTCAATTAGAAAGGCAAAATCAGGCCAAAGAATTGCTAAAACATTTTGAACAATTACTAATGGTGAGGCAAAGTATGTTTTGTAGTCCTTTCATTCACCACCAACATCGTTTAGAGATAGAGAAGGATATTCTTTCCAAAGCTACTACGGACCCGATAGCAAAAGAGATTGGAATGGAAGAAGACTTGAAAGAGATTTTTCAACGTGATAAACATTGTGCTGAAAAATGGAACTCCGACGGACGGAAAAACGGCAAATTAATGTGGAATAAGATCTTGAAATGGAAGTCTAAAAAAGATTAAAAGAGCCAAGGCTTCTTTCAAAGAGCATGTTGGGAAAGAGACCAGATATAAAATCATAGCGAGTATTAAAATTCTTGGTGTCTATTCCAATAGAGACTTAGCTGTAGACTTTTGGCTGTTGATCTTTACATTGTCCAGATGTTAGTTTGGTATTTTATGCATATTTGTTGGTTCAGATTGGCAAGAGCAATTGGTAATAAGGGCAAGCTTGGCTGGTCTATGAACAACTATTAGTAGTGAGCTTTCACTGTAACATCACTATACAAAATACTCAGCTTCTTAAGCTTTAACTTTACTCTTCCACTAGGCCCTAAAACAAATCAGACAAATTACAGCATAGAGGGAAGTACTCTTGCCTCCGAGTCAGATGGTTGTGAGTTCAAGGTCCATGCTGGAACTTTCAGTTCACAATCTAGTCTGATATTCCATTACAGTGCTGGGGACGCAGTGCTGGGGACGCACTGCGTTGTTGGAGGTGCCGTTCTTCGGATGAAACTAAGGTCCCATCTGCCTCTTCAGGTGATGTTCAAGATTCTATGTACTATTCGAAAAGAGAAGCGTGGTAACCCTGGTATCCTGGGCAAAAATCGCCCAGATAGAACTGATCATTCACAGTTTTGTAGCTGTTTGAGTAGTATTGCTGCGTACACATTGACTGCCATGTTCACCCACAAAGACACAGTCACTACACATGTTCTTAAGGAGACCCTGTTATAATTGTTTTTGGCAGGGTCAAAGCCTACATTTGGATTTAGTCATCTTAGTCATGGAGGAGGGAATCACTCAGTAGACTGGATGTTTGCCTATGCTCAACTGGTTTGTTTTAAAGAGGATTTTTTAAAAAATAAATATTATGCAGTGCTGTTTCAACACAAATATCTTAAAAATTTAATGTCTTAAAAAATGTGTGTGGGAAACCAGTGGGATATTCATAAGTACTATATATAGTTGATACATAGATTAAGACCACAGGTAGAAATGTGTATTTGAAAAGGGCTTTGGGATTCACTTTATTAATTTAAAAATATTTTTTCTTTTAATTAAATAAACAGCAACTTTAACAATCCAATGGAACAGTGAGGTACAACGAAAATAAACAGAGGCAGACAGGAGCTGCATACCTTACAGATACATCAAACCATAGGCAACTTTTTTTTGGGTGGGGGATCAGCCGGGTGACTGACACATGTGGAAACCCATTCACCTACTTCAGAGTATCCAAACCAAACTAAGAACTCCATCTATCTCACCTACACACAGAAATTCTTGTGTATTGGAAATAAATGCACACTCTCAGTGGAATATTCATAAATACTACTCTCTTACGTTACCCAGGGGGGAGCCACGACAATTAAATGAAAATGAATTAGATGTCGACATGGTTTCCACCCTTAGTTTCGATTAATGTAAGGTATTGTAGTTGTAGATATGGTTGCAATCTGGATTGCATGTTTATTGCTGGGTTTTGATACAATGAAAGTACATTTTGTTCAATAAAGGCTGTACAATCTGACCTGGTGTCTCTTATTGTTTTGCTCCTTTGGGTGTCTGACGCATACAGAAACCAATCACCATGCTTAAGGGTATCCAAACCAAGCTGAGAGTTCCTTGCTTCCCACCTCACATGGAATCCCAGAGATATTTATTGGAATGGAATGTGCACTCTCTCCTGTTTACCAAATTCCGGAAGCTATTAGGGACAAGTTGGCAAGAGCCAAAGGCTTGGGGACCCCAGAGTCTGCATTGGGGTACTGCTGGAGTCTAACCAGCTAAAACTGCACAGCTTTCCATTAAGAACATTGTCTGACAAGCATTCCTATTGCTTGTCCAGCTAGGACCTCCCCACCTATAAGCGATTTGGCTTTCAGGGTTAATAGGAGTTGAGTGGGATGACTCCCTACCCCCAATGACTGGTCTGCCTTTCCAGGTGCTGCCGATGAGCCAGGTTGGCGGTAATATCATCAGCTGTGCCCTGGTGTACTGTGTGCCCGCCTGGCTCAGGTAATGGATTAGATAATCCTGCTTACCTCCTCCGCCCCCCCCCCAGCCGAGGAGGAGATACAAGTTGATCATTTGACATCTGACAAGCGTGAGGTTGAGCCCTCACAGGGTGGATGGCAGGTACCAGAAACTCTCTACAAGCTTCCTGGTGGTGTAGGATTTTAATAATGTGGTTGACTCTGAGGTAAGATAGCAGACAGAGACAATGGATAAATCAAAGGGTTAATTTATTAAGCAACAAGATGGTTAGTAAACAGTTACAAGTTTCATGCTTACAACTGCAGAAGATTGTTCAGGGCCGGCTGATCTCGACCTTCACTGTGGACACTGACACACCAATATTCCTTTGGCTAATTATTTAGCCTACGATCCCATGCTCATGGGATCCAGTATCCCACAGTGTCTAACTGTGTCCAACCTGTTAACATTTGTTTTGTTCTTTTATACCCCAAAGTTTGGACACATGATGATGAAATAGGAATGTGTAGCCAGAGGCCATTCCACCTAATCAAAGTTTACAATTTGATTGTCCAATCATATTTCTGAATTGATTCATCCAGTCACTTTTCCTCACTCAGGGTACGCCCATAGGTTCTCAGGGTTTAATCTTGGGAATCTGGGAGTTCTCTTGAAGCCCCTGATACCAAGTGTGCAAAGTTCAGTTTGGCAGTTAATTGTATTTCCTTGACACCTTAAAATCATAAAATCCTTTCAAGACCGTCTTCCCACCAGACTGCCAGGCACCAAGAGTCCCATTAATCAGATGAATGTCAGGTTAAAGCGAAGCCACACATTCCTGATTTTATGAACGTTGACTTTTGGCCCTTTTAGTTGATTTTGGAGTCCCTCTTATCAATGCAAACTACAATATAAAATATAAAATACAATGTAAAAAACAATAATAAAAATTAGTCACTTCAATCCATGACCGTTTGTGGGACACTGCCGTGCGCAATTGGCTGCCGCATTTCGCCCACAATTATAGAGTCAATTCACTTTACAGTATATTCTGTGAAGCACTTTGAGATGTATAGAAGGCGTGAAAAGCGCTATATCAAATGCAAGGATTATTATTATTAGATTATTATTTTGTTTACTTGAGATAGACTGTTAAGCACCATATTTCTTACACCCACTTTGGGGTAACAAACAATGATTTTGACTATTTCCTTACAGTGGGCAACACAGTTCAGCATTGCCACCATCTTCCTGCCTACAGCTCAGACACACATCCCTTCCCATTGAGCAATGGTTCCTCTATCCCTTCCCATGGAGCTGCTGCATCAGCTGCTTACTCAGCACCTGCTGCTTAATCCAGGTCCTCATGTCAGGGCTCTTAATAAATAGACTGTGAGGCCGCCTCCACCTCCAGGGTTTTTAATGACAGGTCAGTGTAGACCGGAGCCCTCCCTCCCTCAGCTGCTTCCCGTGTTGCCACAAATCCATCTCACTGCTTGTTCCTGGACTTTGCAAATGAGCCATAGGAATCCTCTCCGCTGCATCCCCAGGAACTTGGATCCATAAAGGAGGACTGTTTGCACACAGGTCTTATATTCCGCAAGCTTGACCTGCATTGGGACCTTGCTGTCCTTGAAGACGGGCGAGTATGACCAGAGTGCCCTTCACCCTTTCTATGCATGATCCTTCAGGACAGATGGTGTCCACCACAATGCCCAAGGAACAACAATTGGGACTCATGTTCCTTGTATGCATTCATGTTTAAATTTGTGTTTAATTAGTGTTTCTCTTTCATAGAAAATTTATAGTATAGGATTTTTTTTTTGGGGGGGGGGCTCAGATGGGTGTCCGACACAGGTGGAAACCCATCACCATGCTCAAGAGTATCCAAACCAGACTGAGAGTTCCATGTATGTGTACCACCACATAGAAATTCTCCTGTGTCTGGAACACACTTGTATAGTAATAGTAGTCGTGCCTTATCATGTTGTTGAGACATCCCAAAGTGCTTCACGGGATATACTGTAAATTGATTTGACTGGATATTTTGTGAGTAATATCAGAGCAATGTCCCTCAAACAGCCATGTAGGAAGTGACCAATTTTATTTGGGGGATTGTTAGGCAGGACACTGGGAAAAGCTCCCTTCTCTATTCGAATAGTGCCATGGGGTCTTTCATGTCCACCTGAACAGGCAGACGGAACCTCAGTTTAATGTGTCATTCAAAGGATGGCACCTCCAACAATGCAATGCACATCCAGAACTGCATTGGATTATCATCTTAGAAAATGTGATTCCTGTTAGAAAAGTCCTAACTTGGGACTTGAACCCACAACCTTCTGACTCAGATTCGTGTGTGCTACCACTGATCTAGGCTGACACAAAATACCTAATTCTAGACAGTATTAGGCACAGGCTGGTAAGAGCCAAGACTTGTGTTGTGTGTTGGGGTACTGCTGGAGTTCACTCAGCTAAATTTGAATAGCTTGCCACTGAGAGCACTGTTTGGCAAAGTTCCCACTGGTTGTCCAGCTCAGGCCATCCTATCCTTTAGGGCTTTGAGTTACAAGAGTTGAGTGGGAGACATGCCAGTTTCCAATTACTTAGAAGGGTGCAATCTGCTCCAATTTCCCTGTTCTTTTCCCATGTTATTTTTCCACAACTCTAACCCCTTTTTTTTCTGGTGATAACACTCAATTTGTTCCATCTCAGTGTACACCAACCTGCTTCAGGTCCCCCGCACTTCTCATCCCATCATTGGTGGTCCGGCATTCAGCATCTCTGCCCCCACAACCCTCCCTCCATCCCTCCTGACCCCAACTCTCAGCTCGGTCCAAAAATCCATGACTGTCCAGTGCCCTGGGACGTCTTTCCAACCTGATGGACACTATACAAGTGTAATTGTTGTTGTTTTTGTTAACAGTGATGGAGCCTGACTCCGAGCCAGAGGAAGGGAGGAGGTGACTGAAAGCATCGTCGAAAACTTAGTTGTGATCTAAGAGGGGAAGAAGGGGGCAAGGCGGAGGGATTGAGAGAGAGAATTCCAAAGCTTTGGGGTGTAGCTTAGTGGAGTAAGCAGGCAGTGGAAATGGGAGAAAGCAGGTCAGAAAGGTTGGGAGGTGCTTAGGCATGAAGGCATTTGTAGACAAGTGAGAGGATCTTGAAACCGATCCACTGTTACAATGAGCCAGTGAAGCCTGGCGAGGACTGGTGTGATGAGGGGTGGAGTTTACTATGTTTGAGAATATGGGCGGCGGAGTCCTGATTCAACACAGTAACAGATAACACAGTAACAAGCTGGACCCAGCGCATCCAAACATCTTGCTTCTCGTAACCCAGGCGACTCTGAAAATATTTACGAGTTGTCAACTGACTGGCCAGTTTCCAACCCACAGGCATCCTGAGTCTTGGTGACATCAGTGGGACTCTGGAAGTGAGCAGAAGCAGCAGCAATATAACACCCCACTGGTGTTAGCAGTATCATTTGCTAAGGACCCTCTCCCCTCACCTACACACACTTACACCCTACCGTACTTGGTATAACAGTAACCTAATAAATAGCACAATAAACTGCACCATTACAAAATATACATATATTTACCCCTTGTTTGTTCGGGTGGATATTACCGATTCTAGTATGCTGTTTGAAAATAGAGGAGTTTCTCTTGGTATCCTGGCTAACATTTTTCCAGATAAATTGATCATTCACCTCCTGGCTGTTAGTGGGAATTTGCTGAATTAAAAATTGGCTGAACGTTTACTTACAAATACAGTCGCTGAGCTGGAATTGTTTTGACAGCAATTATTATAATTATCTGTGAAGTGACTTAAGAGAGTTTAATATTATAGGTGGGATACTTGCTGTAGGTTATTTATTTGCCAAGTTTGTAATTCAATAATTAAATGACGCAACCTACACAGGAATAGGAATAGAAATCTATTTAAGAAGCTGTACTACAGCATATCTACCAATGACCACAGCTTTGACATCTAAAGTCAGTGAAATACACCACAAAGTCGACCCCTTAGCTCAGATTGAAGATGCACTCAAGTTCTGTGTTGAAGAGTTTTGGTGGTGGTCTGACCTTGAACTGTGACATCAAGGAGAATAATTCAGCAAAGAAAGAGTTTTTCACTGCACACTGGGAAGATCTTATTTTGATAACTAAGCCAGACGACAGGTGAGAAATGCTTTCATCTCAACCTTTCCTGCACGACTTTCCGTTGCAAAGTTGCTCCCCTGCGGAATTATTGTAAAATTCATCTGTTTACCATTTGTAAAATTCTTATGTATTTACATTAATACATGACTCATTTGTGATTCATAAACTACACCATTCCAATGCACATGTATTTTACTAGACTCATTAGGGCATTTGGATTGCAAGTTTGTGAGATAGACATGATGTGACACATAGATTGGTCTGATCGGTATGGTGGGCGTAGAGCCTACTTGAGAGGGGAACCGTTTCCATCGATCAGTATAACAGACAGTCAAAACACCACCTCATTCTGCAAACAAAAACTGCAGCTTCTTTTTGCTTTTTGATTTGCTGTTGTTTCCTCTGAGACTTGTGATTGGTGTTGATTTCCTTCTAGTAGATTTCTGTAACAGGAATCTAGTTCTTTTTCAATGTTGTAATTACTCTTAAAAATTAGAGAAAAATAATCATTCCTACTTTTGATATAGCACCTTATCACATCACTGAAACATCTCTAAGTGCGTCACAGGAATTTTTCTTTAAAGCGCAGTGACTGTGAATTTCTAGGCAAACATAGCAGACAACTTGCACATAGCAATATCCCTCAAAAAGCAATGAAGTTAATGATAATAATAATAATTCTGATGATTTTTGGCTAGGACATTGGGAGAATCTCCTTTCTCTTTTTAAATAGAACCATGGGATTTTTAATGTTCGCCAGAGGCAGACGGCCTAAGTTTAACATCTCGTTAAAGGATGGCAACTCCAACAATGCAGAATTCCCCGAGCACATTATTGGAGTGTCAGTCTAGACTATGACTTCAAAGTCCCAATGTGGGGATCGAACCCACAACTTTTTGACTCGGAGGTGAGAGTACTACCAAATGCGCCAGGCTAATACCTTAAATAGAAACCTTAAATAGGTGAAAAACAGCCTTAAATTAATGTAGAACTCTCTAGTGATTTAGTAAGTGCAAAAGACAGAATCAGAAAGATGCTTGAAAAAGAGTAATATTAAAGAGTAACATTGAAGAGAGTGCGATTAGATAAAATGATTCATGTAGCCAAAAATACCAGCATAGACTTGATTGGCCAAATGGCCTGCTTGCATGCTGTAACATTCTATGATCACTATGTGAATCTGATTTGCTATACGAAAGTAGCTAGATTAAGATCTAGCAGGTGTCAGAGCCCTGCGTAGTTCCATGAACATTTAGAGCGTGTTAACACGATACGCAGAGGGAAAAATGTTGCACCTCCCTCTCACTGGTGCTGTAAACTGAACAGTCGCTCAATTTTACAAAATAAAAATTTAAAAGTGAGTTTTAGTAAAAACTACTTGCATTTGATATAGCACCTTATCATGTCGAGAAATCTCAAAGAGCTTCATAGAATATACTGTAAAGTGAATTGACTGTATATATTTTGTGGGCAAAATACGTTGGATATGGCTTTGTTGGAATTAAAGATAACTTAGTTCAAATTACTAAAGCTATAATATTACAACACCTCTGCATAGTGCTTTCTTTACCGCTACAACAGGAATAGACCCAGATTTATGCATATGTTGATTGTGGAAAGGAAGAGATGTGCAGAGTCCTTATGTGGACAAATTAAATCTACAAATTACTGATTTATTTACCAAATTTCCAAGTGTTCTTGCAAATGTCAAATTATGAATGGAAATGTTAATAAAATGGCATTTGCAGCATCTATTTTATTGGACAGTTAAAAGTGAATCTTCAAACTGATTCTCAAGAGCAGTGCAAATTGTTGAAATTAAAGGCAGTCATTATGATAATGTAAAGATTGGAAATTAATATATACAAGCTATGAAAACTCTAAAATGTAGCTAAAACATGGTACAATCTAGGTTTGGACACTTTACATTAGAATGCGTTAGAATACACAACACAGAAACAGGCCATTCGGCCCAACTGGTCTATGCCAGTGCTTATGCACCACATGAGCCTCCTCCTGCTCTTCCTCAACTAAGCTTTCAAGCATAACCTTCTATTCCTTTCTCCCTCATGTACCTATCTAGCTTTCCCTATATCTATGCTATTTGCCTCAACAACTCCTCGTGGTAGCTGTTCCACATACCCACTACGTTCTGTGTGAAGAATTTTCTTCTAACTTCCCTATTTAATCTATTTGTGACTATTTTATATTGATGGCCTCTGGTTTTGGTCTCCCCCACAAGTGGAAACATCTTCCCTATGTCTACCCTATCAAAACCTTTCATCATTTTAAAGACCTCTATTAGGTCACCCCTTACCCTCCTCAGTTTACTTTTACAGTTTTATACTTTTACTTTAGTTTACTTTTAGTGGCATGATTTGCTTTAGTTCTAAGGTGCTGTGACACATCCTGATAGTCACTTTAATCCTTAGTGCTTGATTTAACAGAATCATTTTGAATGAAGACAACGTTTCGTGCAAGGAGCACTATGACCAGAAACAACAAGCTATGTTCATTCTGCAGAGATCTCCTGATCAGAAAATGAGGATGGGCCGACTAGGAGGGAAAATAATGGAATATTGTCTCCCATATAAGAATGTCCTCCCTGTGCCAGTCTTTATGCCAAGCAGAGTACAAACCACTGCCAAAGAAGACTTCAGGACCCAGTGGTCTCCACTGTTGGAAGAAAAAAACATGAGGCAACTTGGAAAAACTTCAAATCCGATATTTAAAGAGGCGTTTCTCAACAAAGGAGAATTTTTGGCAATAAAGGATACTACACTTCCAAAAAGGGTAGGTTTCATAGCCTCATCCTCTCTGTCTCCTGATGTGCAAAGAGGCTGAGAAGGCAATAAACTGAGCCAAAATTCCAGCTTGAAACCAGAGGGATGAGCAAGAATCTCTAGTATTGGTGCGACTGTGTCATTATCAATGGTTGTGCTGTCTTACCTCTCAACAACTATATATTCCAGTTTATGAAATGTAAGGATTATAAATTAAATGTACTCAATGCTATTCAAAATTAAGTTTACGCTTCTGTTGTTATCCATCCAGATACATTTTAACATGGCCTAGATGTAACGATTTCAGGATCAAAGAATCATAGAATGTTACAGCACAGAAACAGGTCATTTGGACCATCAGGTTTGCACTGGTGTTTCTCCACATGAGCCGCCCAGTCTAACAACTCACAACACAGGTCCTTTCATGTTCCTCTTTTTCAAGCAACTATCTGATTCCCTTTCAAAAGAATTGTTGGCTTCTGCTTCAGTGACATGTAACCCAGTTTTGTACGATTAAGCCGTTTCCACCTGAATAAATAAAATTAATGTCAATTCCAAAGCTAATAGAATATTTGTAAAATACATGTTCCTACCCAAGGGAGCAGCTGGGTAGGTTAGTAGAGTTATTTCCAGTGGTGCAAATGTTGGGGCAACAACTAAACAAGTTAACTTCAGTTATGGACATTATTGAAGGAAGTCAAAGCCCATCCGAGACTTGATGTCTGATAGGGAGCCTCTAGTCGCCTCAAATCTTTTCTGGTCAGGACGGACTCAGAGGGTTGCCTAGAGAAATGAGAAGAAACAATATCCACAGAAAACACAAATGTTTTTACATTTTAAAACAAATCAGAGAAAACTTCAGTTTTACAATCTGAGTAAATTCGATTCCAAACAAGAACAGTGGATACAAGACAAGATTAAACAACAAGTGATTTATTTAATATAGCAAAAGAATGAAAATAAAACAGGAGAAATAGCAGAAATGTTTTTCTGCAACATTGCTGAAGGAGACTTCAAGAATAAACTGAAAAACAGATCTTCACCGTAGACTTGTAGGAGAGCCAAACAAAGCATTTTTTTCCAGCAGCAAAAAATTAAACAAAAACAGGGCAGACACAGCTGGAGATAATCCAGTATAGGATATCAGTATCAGGATATTACAAACACATTTAAAGCTTCTTAAAGCTATACTATATGTGGAAAAATAAGTAAGAGACTATATGTTACTATTCCATGGCACAATACAATTTGTTGTTAGCACCTAGCAAGAATCATTTGTAGGTGCTCACAACATCAAGTTTATTTTTTTGTTTCCAAATAATATCAAGTTGAATCCAGTGCTTACATTATCGGGAAGAGGGGCTCTATTTATGATAGGTTCAAAAACGTAGGTCTGTTTTTACTTAAAAACAGGTGAATTCTATGTGCCTTATTCTTGACCACTGCCAGTTTCACACTGAGGGAATACGAGATTTGCCCCTTGTCATAACCCTGACACAATAACTGACACAAGAGTATAGCACACAGATCTTGGAGTGATACTTCCTTTAAACAAGGAAAATACCTAATTACAGAAGTCACAAAAACAAATCTGACGCTTCAGATTTGTTTTTTGTGACCTCTGTAATAAGGTGAGGAACAGATTCCAATTGTGCCAGTTCAGAAATCAACCTTTTCAAACACAGTACTGATCCAATTTCAAATTCTCACACATGATACGGAGAAGAGTGTTTGCAAGACAGACACATTATTGTTTCAGATTTTAAGAAATAATCGCAGATACATTGACTATTCAATCATAGATTGATTGAGGTTGATTATAGGTCAAATGGTCATGATCCAATTTTATAGCGAGTTAAGTCCTACATATCTCATGGTCTTTAACTTACATAATTGTCTTATAAGTTATTGAAATTGCACAGTCAGAGATCCACAGCCAAACATTTACAATTAGGTCTCTATTGGGATAGGCATTGAGAGTTTTAAAACTCTATTGGGAAAGATTCCACTTGAGCCTAGATTTACGCTATTTGTACAGCATTTAAGGGCATCAAGAATTAAACAAATTGTTGAATTCAGTCGTATCTTTGAAGTTATTTTTCTGTATTTCTTAAAAGAACTTACAGAAAAATTGCTTCAATTCGCAGAATTAAGGCTGCATTTAAGAATCTGCAAAATTCTGAATGCAATAACATTTATTTAACACCTTTCAAGTCGGGAGGACATCTCAAAGTGCATGAGAATGCTGGCTGAGCACCCAAGCTGGGGGTTGGAGTGAGGGTTGTGGGAAGGGAAAGATGTGGGAAAGCTCAATCAAAGAGATGGGCCTATTGAGATGAGCCTTGAATGAGGGGAGGGAGGGAGGAAGGGAATACTCTGAACTGCTATAGAATTAGAATAATTCTAATAATCTTAAATTGGATATAGTTCCTTATCACATCTCACAGTGCTTTACAGAGTTTCTGTAAAGTGTGGTGTCTGCATTTGTAGGCTTTATCTAGACCCACATGGAATTTATCCCCGATTAAAACTTCACGTCAGGTCTCTTTCCCAACATGGCTTCCTCAGCTCTCCTGAACTTTTGAAGCTCAGCTTGAAGTTTCCAGTATGAGATGTAAAGCCACATTAACCTGCCATTTTTTTGTTTGTCAGTGTTCAATGGATTAGCACAATGTTTATCATGTTTAAAAATGTCCTTCAAGCCAGCTTCTATTCCAACCCTTTTAGCCATCGAGTCTGTAGCAGCTCGATAAAGCATATTCTTCTCCAGGTCAAGGCGATTGTGTCTTGGGACAAAGTGACTACAAAACAGGTTTTGTCTATCAACTAGTAATCTTTCAACATATTTTATATATGCATTGGCCTGCCTTTGCCATGCTTCTTCTCTTTCCACCAGATTCCGGTACAAGGCTCCTGCAGCACCAGACTGCTGAATAATAGCTTTCTCTTCTTCAATCCTGGCACGCTCTTGATTCAGCTGTTCATGTTTTTCAACAAGTTGTCGACTCTGTGCTGAAAGAGCTTCTCGATAGCCTTGCACTCTGCTCTGATGTTTCTCCTGCTCTAGCTCAAGATGTGCAATAGAGCGCCGATACTGAACTATTGTGTCGCGGTATTTAATTTCCAAATCTTTGTGTGCAGCATCCATCTGCATCTTACACTCTGCTTTTACTCCATCAATCTCTTTCTGGGACTCTCTCGACCAGATCCAGCCTTGAAAAGCAAAATGAAGATAGTTTATTTTAACACAAGGTACAGGAACACTAGGAATAAACAGTGATTTGTGTGCTCTGAATAGAAAGGAAAAAAAATTGTAAATTGCTACTACAGTCCTCAGATATTTCTGGACTATCCACTGCAATTTACCATTGTTTAGCAAGATTTTTTTTGAAACATCATAAATGCGATTCTATTTCCAGCCTAACAGCAGAAAATCCTACTCTAGATGCTTGCCAGTTAATTTTCCTTCAAAACTTTTAACTTTTGAACAATCATTTCTTTGCATCATCAAAATAACCAGCTAAGACATAACTAAGACATAAGCACGATCCATTCCCACTGAGACATTCTCAGCACCACCTCAACAAACATCATGTAATTCTATATGACAACTACAATAGTTTGTAACCAGCTATCCACAAGAGTTTGAGTTTACTCAATTTATCGTAGGTATTACTTGGTGGTTATTTTTCTCTAAATACATGTATACATATATCCTTCATATAATCTGTGTTACTTCCTTCTAAAGGTTTGGCTAAATCTTAGATCCTATACGCAATTTGTACTATTTGGTCTGCTCTACTGGAGATTGTGAAAAACTAACCAATGCCTGTTTCAGAGCGAATCCAATACAGTCAAACCCTGGCTAACAGGACTGATGGGGAAGGAGATCCTTTCCGGCTAGGCAGATTTCATGGCTAATCCTAACCCTTTGAAATAAATTCAGATAAATCCTCCTTAACCTTTAAAATAAAATGAATTTTAAATAAATAAATTAGACAAAAAAGCAAAACATATTGTGGCCACTGATGCAATGCAGCTGTATTGATGGCCTTGGCAAAACCAATCAGTGTTAAACTGTGGGGATCACATGCGCTGCGTGGCAAGGCATGGGTGCACACTAGGAGAGTTGGGCTGGTGGGAATTTGGAATTCACAGGATGGATTTGGGGCCGGAGGAGATTTTTTCAGATCCGGTCCAGCTAAGTCCAAATTCCAGATATTTTAAGTCTGGTTAGCCGGGGTTGAGTGTATTCTGTTTCTAACTTCCCCGAGCTGGATGGTCCTGAACCTCTATCCATCTGTTGACTGGCAAAATTAACAAAAAAAACAGGAATGAGTTTCCAATACTTACGAAAGGCAGCTAGTCCCAACATGGGCACGAACAGGGCGTAATTCCATTTGCTTCCATCACCTCCACCCTCTCTAGGGTTAGGCATGATGTTCCACTGCATAGGCTCATTAAGGTTGTTCATGGAGTTGCAGTTTGCTGTCAGCACAAATAAGACAAGTGTTAATTGTGCCAAATGTCCATCAGTCTTAGACAGTAAAACAATATTGTCTTATAATTTAAGATAATACTCCTTGCATTTGATGTAGCGCCATATCAAGTCTCAAAGGGCTTCACAGGATTTACTGTGTATTTTGTAGGTGAACATGGCAATCAATTTGAAGGACGGCACATCGCACAATGGGTGCTCTTCAGCACCGCATTGGAGTGCCAGAAGTCCAGTACTGCTCTATAATTTATTATTTACTTATTTTAATTAAAGAACTGTTAGAAAAATAGATTACTGCAGCATGAAAATTCACAACTGAACCTACAGTATTGCATGAGATCAAGCTTCATATCAAGTAGGATTCGATAAGCCCAAAACTATTCAAAGCTTGTTACTAGATCATACACACGCATCATTAGGCATCTCAGGAGTCAGCAAAAACTAATAGCACAGATGACAACCTTTGAGTCTGGTGTATGTGCTAATTCCCTCATTGGAGTTCTGGTACAAGTTCCCCCTCTGCTGTAATTCCCTGCTCTCCCCCATATCCTTTGATTGTCAGTTTGGCTCATTGATAATATTATTGTCTCTGGATCAGATGATTGTGGGTTCAAGTCCCATATCAGAACATGAGCCCATAAGCTAATGCTCAGATGCAAAGTCTTGCCCGCTAGTTTCCGATGGACACTGAAGATCCCTTATACTGTTCAAACAAAAGAGTTGCTCTCAGTGCTCTGGCCAACAATGCTCCAGATAAATTAGCTGTTCACCTTATTGCTGTTTTAAGGAACCTTATTGGCGCAAATGGCTACCAACAACAACTTGGATTTATATAGCGCCCTCCACACCGGGCAGTGTCTCAGAGTGCTTTACAGTAATGGATCCCGGGGCTGAGCCAGGGGGATGGGGAGGAAGGTGATCAAAGGCGCAGTCGAAGAGAAAGGTCTTCAGCAGAGACCTGAAAATAGGAAGAGAGGGAGTGAGGCGAAGGGAGTGAGGAAGTGAGTTCCAGAGCCTCAGGGCATAGTGGCTGAAGGCACGGCCGCTGAGGGTGGAGTGGAGAACTTGGGGGATGAGGAGGAGGCCAGACCCGGAGGAACAAAGGCAACGGGTACTGTTTTGAGGAGAGAGGTCAGAGAGATAGGGGGGTGCAGAGGAGTGGAGGCATTTGAATGCAAGGGTGAGGATCTTGAAGTCGATCCTCTCTGGGACAAGCAGCCAATGCAGTCTGGCAAGGACTGGGGTGATCGGGGAGTGGAGTTTGGTGCAGGTGAGAATGCGGGCGGCAGAGTTTCCTACAAAAACAGTGACTATAATTAATAGGAAACAACGACAATTGACAGCAAACAATAATTACTTGTGAAGCACTTTGAGATGTGATAAATGTTATAAAATATATGTCGAGCTGGGGGGAAAGAGAAGGTGACTGAAGGCAAGGACGAAGAGGAAAGGCGAAGGAAGGTGCAAGGCAGAGGGATTGAAAGAGTTCCAAAGTTTTGTGGGTAGTAGCTAAAAGCATGGCTGTCAATGGTGGAGCGGAGGGGCGCAGGAGAATGGAGTCAGGTGAGCAGAGGAGGCAGGAAGGGGAGTAAGCATATGGGAGAGGAAGGGATGTGCCAGGGCACGAAAAGATTTGTAGATGAGTACGAGGTTCTTGAAGTTGAGCCGCTCTGTGATAGGGAGCCAGTGAAGCATAGCAAGGACTGGTGAATATATGGGCGGGGGAGTTTTGGATTAGTTGGAATTTTGTGAATAGTGGAGCTGGGAAGACCGATGCGGAGGGCATTGGAATAATCGAGCCGGGAGGTGACAAAGGCGTGGGCGAGGGTCTCCCTCAGGCACACACCCATGTACATCGTCAAAAATTGTTTTTAAACTCCACCTCCTTCTTCCGGTGACAATCTTTAATTTATGTCCTCTGACAACTGACTTGCGAAATAGCGGAAATATTCTTTCACTATCTGTAAAAATCCTCACTGCTGAAAGCTAGCAAATTAACCTGGGTTATAAGCTCCATACTTCTGTTTGACTTGTTAGATGACTAACCCAATGATGTAATCTTTATTAAACAGTCCTAACTAAATGTCTGCCCTATGGCTCTGTATCAAGGACATTCTGATCTTTATACAAGGTAATTCATACTTGCAAATGTTAAGTGTCTAAACCTGTGCGTGTAAACTAAGTGAATGAGAACTTTGTTACAGCACAGAAAGTATGTTCATGTTCTCAACATTCACTTCTTTACAATACAGAACAGCTTTAGAGTTGATAAATAATATTCAATATACATTAGTAAAAGAAAAATACAATGTTCCTTAACTAAATTATTAATAGACATCGCTTTTTTCATCCCACATCATTTAAATCTCTCCTCCCCTTCAAGAGGAATTTAATCTTGAACATTTTTGAAGGTTCATTTTGCCACTTACTGAAATATCCAGCTCAATAAAGGCAACAGAATATGTGTGATCATCGAAGAGTCCAATTTGCAAATTTGTTTCTGAAATGAAGATACAACAGTTATATTTTTACAGTGCCTTTCATGTAAACAAATGTCCCAAAGTACTTCACAAAATGAGAATTAGAACAAACAGAATGTTATTTAGACAAATACAGCAACCAATCTGCGCTCACAATGTCCCAAATTGCTGATTAACCTGAAATTAGTATTTACATTACAGAATAGTTCATTAGAAAGATGCTGTACAAAATGCAAGAATTATTATTAGAAAGTGAGTAATAAATATGTGGTACAGTCTACTCATGTATTAACAAATTAAAGAGAAACAAAAGGCCTCTAGATAGTAAGATCCAGGATAAGTTTAAGAGTTCCAGCTTTAAGGTCCTGACAAAGAATAAGATAGATGGTGCATTAAGCTAGTTTCAACACATTTTGTTTGGGTCAGCCGGGTATCTGACACACGTGGAAATCCACCAGCATACTTAAAGAGTATCCAAACCAAACCGAGAGTCCCATGCAGCCCACCTACATACTGAAATTCCTGTGTTTGGAATGTAACGTGCACTCTCTCCCCAGAGGAACACATCCTGTTCATCTAATTCTGGAGAGTATGAGGCACAGTTTGGCAAGGACCCAAGGCTTGGGAACCCCCAGAATGAGCTTTGGGGTACTGCTGGAATTTCACCAGCTTAGAACCTCATAACTTGCCACTGAAAACACTGTCTGGCTAGCTTTCTGTTGCTTGTCTAGCTGGGACCACCCTTCCCAATTGGTCAATGCAATAAAGATATAAGGAGGAAGAGCTTATAGTGAAGTACAGTGTATTGAGAGGAGCAAGAAGTGGAAATTGAGAGAAAAAAATTATTGCAGCAATACCCAAAAGTGATTTTTTTTGGCCAACCAGGAGACGGTGACACAAAGACGAGAATTGTTGAAGATAGATTAAGGCTAAAGAGGAGGGATTTTTTTCGAATTCATGATAAATATTTTACTACTTCCTGTTCAGGAGTGTGAGAGAGGTACCAAAATAACTTCATGAGATATGGGAGCAGTATCCATGTTTTGGCCCAATTTGGGCTTGGTAGACAGTTAAGAGCTTTGAGAGGACAATATATAGCACAAAATATAAAATGAAAGTACAGAAATAGAATGTGCAGTACATTATTAATATAATTATCAATATTATCTTTCTTGTGACAGTAACTGACCAATAAGAGTGGGAGGAAATGTTTCCCCTAAATCATTAATCTGCTGTCCTATGTAAGTAAGTCTGGAATCTTTCCTTACTTTATTTCGCTGCTGATAAACTTGTCAACAGCAGGATTTTAAAACATTTGAACACTGAAACAAAAATCAAACTCTGGTCTTATACTGTTGAGTTTTCTGATCATAATCCAAATGATTCTAGAGGTAAGAATAGTCAAAATCAGAAACTTGGATACTCCAAAACAACAGACAGCTCTCAAACTCCAAGATTCACGAAAGAATTTGTGACTAACGAATCATGAAAGTAACCAGATGCGTCAGAGGCTGACTTGCTGAAACTATGCTCCGACACCGATCTTCCAGTTCCCACTTCCAGAGTTTTTTTTCCCCACAGCCAGAAGTGGCCAACAGAGGCTTCTACTGTTCGGCACGAGATTTTCATAAATCAGCACTCAGGAATATGCCTCTACCACATCTGGGAATGTGCAGGATTCATTAGATAAAGTCCTTTTGCTACGATCATAAATGAGCCACCCAGAGTAAAGCAGTTTTGGACTCTGAAACTTATACACAGCTGGATCCAAGGTGACATGAGGTAACACTGATGTAATGGAACACTAATGTGCTATTTTAGATCCAGTTGATGTCCTGGAAGCTGGATTTCAAAGCTCTAAAATTTTACCCTAACATGATTACATTGTTGAGCTTCTGAGCTGCCCCACTAATAACCATGTGAATGTTTAACTGGATGTGCTAAACATTTACATGGCTAGTCAACTGCAGCAGCCGTGAAGCTTAGAAATATATTCTGTTGCAGATTTCTGATTCACTGGCTATGTTGCTGTCGAGCACATCTTGATGCAAACAAGCTGTGGAAAAAAAGATACGGGAGCAGAAATAAACACTGATCCTGTTAAGCATTTCCACAAAATTTCTCCAGTGGCTGACTGACTAAATGGCTCACTCGCAGGGCAAGATTACAAGAGAAGCAAGGATGAAGAAGGCCCTTCTGCCCTTAAGTTATAAAGTCTAGAACAGAGGTGGCCCGCAGAGCTATCAAGAAGTGGCCGCTAGGCATTCGCACTAGTCAAGGTAAGTCAGTGTTCAATCAATAGTGTGTTTCCAGTTTTTTCTTGATGGAATATTTCCTGATTATTTATGGCATGAATCAAGAAATATTCAATCAAGATTTTGTTGGCCGACTATATAGGCTGTCCACCACTGGTCTAGAAGATCACTGACTTGAAACCTGGACTCTTCTGATTCAGTTAATCTTCAATAGGGCACTACCATGGGACCTGTTTAAACATCTCTTCCAAAAAACAGCACCTCTTGACAATACAGAGCTTCCCCCAATATTGTTCTGAAGTTGCAACCTAGACGGTGACACCTTACTAAAGTTATTTGACCCAAGTTCTCTGATACATGTGAAATTCTGCTAAACATACAACAGGCATGGGATACTCCCAGCAATCTATCCCCATGAGTAGACTTCAGCAATACATTGCAGGACTAATATTTTCTAGCACATTCTGATCGTACGAGAAGCAGGAATTTCTGTGATAAATGTAGTTAAGCAACAATTTAATGCAATTGTAACAATCATCGTTTCATACAGTGACTTAACAGTGATAGAAAGTGAATGGAAAAAACTTCAAATACAATCCCACACAATACAGCACTAACTTTTCATGCATTTGCTCTCAATCCCTCAATCGCTCCCTAACTCCTCTCATTGCCTGTCTTTCACACACTCAATCTTTCAACAATTTGTACTTATACGGCATCCTTCATGTGGGAAAACACCTCAATTTACCTCACAGAAACAGAGTAAAAACAAGGCTGGAGATGGGGTTAGAGTCAGGGAAGCATTATCAACAACAACTTGGATTTATATAGCGTCGCTCATGCAGGGTAGCTTTCCGACCACTTGACAGTGGCGGAGCACTTTGCCAAGCCGAGGGGGGAGGTGACCGTAGGCACGGTCGAAGAGGAAAGTCTTCAGGCGTGATCTGAAGATGGGGAAGAAAGGGACCAGCCGGAAGGATAGAGGAAGAGTGATCCTGAGGTTTGTGGCGCAGTGGCTGAAAGCGCGGCCATCGATGGTGGAACAGAGGGCTACAAGGGATATGCAGGAGTCTGGAGCCAATCGAGTGGAGGCAGCGGGTTGGGGAGTAAGCTGGTTGGAAAGGTAGGGAGGTATCAGGGCATGAAGGGATTTGAAAACAAAGTAAGGATCTTGAGATTGATCTTTTCAGCGATAGGGAGCCAGTGGAGCCGGACTAGTACTGGTGTGATGGAGTTTAGTACGGGTGAATATGCGGGCTTTGGAATTATGGATCAGCTGGATTTTCTAGAGGATGGAGCTGGGGAGAGCAGCAAGGAGGGCATTTGAATAATTGAGGCGGCAGGTGACGAACATATGGACGAGTGATGGAAAGCACAATCAGAGATAGGTTTTTAAGAAGGGTTTTCAAAGTGGAAAGGATGGCTTATAGAGAATGGGAGCAAGGTATCCCTCTCTCACACAGACACACTCCGTATCTCTCTCTTTCCTTTACACTCCATCACCTCTCTCTCTCACACAAACTGTACCTCTCATTCACACACTGCACCTCTCTATCACATACTCTCACACACACACACACACAAACATAACACTGTACCTCTCTCCCTGCCTGTCACACACACATGCACTGCTCCTCCCTGCCTGTCACTCATAATCTACTCCTCCCTGTCCGTGAAACAACAACTTGCAGTTATATGGCACCCTTCAGACAGCACAGTGTCTCGAAGTGCTGTCACTGTATCACACATTGTACCTTAATCTCTCTCGGACTCTCACATAACACAAACTTTCTTTATCACACATGGTACCTCTCTCTTTATCACACACTGTACCTCTCACACACAATGTACCTCTCTCTAGATATATCACACTGTACTTCTCCCTATCACATACTGTAGCTCTCTCACACACAGTACCTCTCTCTCACACATACACTATACCTCTTTCAGACTCTCACACAGACACTGTACCTCTCTCTCACGCACACTTACATGTTACCGCTCTCACACACACACACCAGCAACAACAACAAAATTACATTTCTTTAGCACTTTCATGTCGGGAGGACGTCCCAAGGTGCTGGACAATTAATATTTTGGACCAGAGCTGGGGGTCAGGATCGGAGGGCGGGGGGGGGAAGGAAGGTGACCAAAGGCATGGTCACAGAGGGGGGTCTTGGGATGGGTCTTGAAGGAGGCAAGGGAGGGGCGAGGCGGAGGGACTGCAGGAGTTTCAGAGGATGGGGGCAGAGTGGCAGAAGGCTCGCCCGCCAATGGTGGCGCTGCGAGGCGGGTGACATGAAGCAGGCCGGAGGGAGTGGGCAGGTTGGTAGAGGATTAGGAGGTTACAGAGGTAGGGGGGAGCAAGGCCATGGAGGGCTTTGAAGGTGAGGACCAGGATCTTGAACTGTATCCTGTGTCATGGGAAGCCAGTGGAGTCGGGTGAGGATGGGGGTGATAGGGTTGCGAAGACTGGTGACAGGCGACACGGAAATCCGATTGGAGGGGTTCGTGAAGAGAGTGGCGGGAGAGGAAGGAGCAAAGCTGGGAAGCAACAACTCGTTCCAGGACCTTGGAAAGGGAGATTGGAGATGGGACGGTAGTTTGAGAGCAGAGATGGGTCCAGTGAGCGTTCTTTAAGGATAGGAATGATGACGGCGTTTTTTTTAAACGTGTGGGAACAGTGGTGAACAGGGAAAGGTTTATGATGTCTGTGGGAGGTGGAGCTGGGAGGTGAGGAGAGGAGAAGGGATGGGGTCAACGGAGCAGGTGGTTGGTTTCATGTGGGTTATGGTGGTGGTGAGAATGGAGGAGGAAACAGGTTTGAGGTGTGGAGGGAGGGATGGGTAGGGACCGTGGTGTGAGGGGGAGATAGGAAAGGGGTAGTGGTCATAAGGGCAGAGGCAGCTGAGATGATACCCTGGACTTTGATTTTGAGGAAGTCCAGCATCGCCTCACAGCTGGCACTGGAGGAGAGAATAGGCCAAGCGTGAGAGACGCTGTACCTCTCTCTGTCTCTCTGTCTCTCACACACATACATACACACACAGACACCTCTCTCTCTCGCACACACACTATCTCTCTCACACACTGTACCCCTCTCGCTCTCACACACTGTACCCCCCGCTCGCTCTCACACACTGTACCCCCCGCTCTCTCTCACACTGTACCCCCCGCTCGCTCTCACACACTGTACCCTCTCTCTCTCACACTGTACCCCTCTCTCCCTCACACACTGTACCTCTCTCTCTCTATATATACTCCCCTCCCTCTCTCTCTGTGTATCTCTCTGTACCCCTCTCTCTCTCTCTGTACCCCTCTTTCTCACACACACTGTACCCCCCTCTCTCTCTCCCTGTACCTCTCTCTCTCACACACACACTGTACCCCTCTCTCTCTCTCTCTCACACACACTGTACCCCTCTCTCTCTCACACACGCACACTGTACCCCTCTCTCTCTCTCTGTACCTCTCTCTCTCTCTCTCACACACACACTGTACCCCTCTCTCTCTCACACACACACTGTACCCCTCTCTCTCTCACACACACACACTGTACCCCTCTCTCTCTGTACCTCTCTCTCACACACACACACTGTACCCCTCTCTCTCTCTCTCTCTCTCACACACACACACTGTACCTCTCTCTCTCTCTGTACCTCTCTCTCTCACACACACTGTACCCCCCCTCTCTCTCTCTCTCACACACACACACACTGTACCTCTCTCTCTCTCACACACACACACTGTACCCCTCTCTCTCTCTCTCTGTGTACCCCTCTCTCTCTCTCTCTCACACACACACACACACTGTACCTCTCTCTCTCTCTGTACCTCTCTCTCTCTCACACACACACTGTACCCCTCTCTCTCTCTCTGTGTATCTCTCTGTACCTCTCTCGCTCTGTGTGTGTGTGTGTGTGTGTGTACCCCTCTCTCTCTCTCTGTACCTCTCTCTCGCTCTGTACCTCTCTCTCTCTCTCTGTACCTCTCTCTCTCTGTACCCCTCTCTCTGTACCCCCCTCTCTCTCTCTCTGTACTTCTCTCTCTCTCTCTCACACACACACACACACACTGTATCCCTCTCTCTGTGTATCTCTCTGTACCTCTCTCTCTCTGTATCTCTCTCCGTATCTCTCTCTCTGCCTCTCTCTCTCTCTGTATCTCTCTGTATCTCTCTGTACCTCTCTCTCTCTCTATACCTCTCTCTCTCTCTGTACCCCCCTCTCTCTCTCTATACTTCTCTCTCTCTCTCTCTCACACACACACACTGTACCCCTCTCTCTGTGTATCTCTCTGTACCTCTCTCTCTCTCTCTGTACCTCTCTCTCTCTGTACCTCTCTCTCTCTGTACCCCTCTCTCTCTCTGTACCCCTCTCTCTCTCTGTACCCCTCTCTCTCTCTGTACCCCTCTCTCTCTCCCTCTCTGTACCCCTCTCCCTCTCTGTACCCCTCTCTCTCTCTGTACCTCTCTCTCTCTCTGTACCCCTCTCTCTCTCTGTACCCCTCTCTCTGTACCTCTCTCTCTCTGTACCCCTCTCTCTCTCTGTACCCCTCTCTCTCTCCCTCTCTGTACCCCTCTCCCTCTCTGTACCCCTCTCTCTGTATCTCTCTCTCTCTGTACCCCTCTCTCTCTCTGTACCCCTCTCTCTCTCTGTACCCCTCTCTCTCTCTGTACCCCTCTCCCTCTCTGTACCCCTCTCTCTCTCTCTGTACCTCTCTCTCTCTCTCTGTACCCCTCTCTCTGTACCTCTCTCTCTCTGTACCCCTCTCTCTCTCTGTACCCCTCTCTCTATCTCTGTATCTCTCTCTCTCTCTGTACCCCTCTCTCTGTACCTCTCTCTCTCTGTACCCCTCTCCCTCTCTGTACCCCTCTCTCTATCTCTGTACCTCTCTCTCTCTGTACCCCTCTCTCTCTCTGTACCTCTCTCTCTCTCTCTCACACTCCGCTCTCCGTCTCTCGGCAGTGGCACAGTGAGAGCTGTACCATGACACCCGGGGGAGCGCCCCACCCGCCCCCTCCACAGCGTGTCCGCCGCCCACAGACAGATACAGACCGTGACAGGTGTTTGGGATACGAGCTGAGGGTTTCCTCAGTATCCCACGTGCTCAGTGCGGCCGCTCCCCCTCAGTGACTGAGAGGGGAGGATCCCCCCCCCCGCGCCCCCCCCGCGCCGCCAGTGGTTGGTCCCGCGGGTTCAGGGAGCTGCTGCGCAGGCGCGAGGTCACAGGAGCAAAGATGGCGCCCATATTCGGAGTGACCCTGAGCCGGTGTCTGAGAGTGAGTGACATCACCAGCAATCACACACTGACCCTGAGCCAGAGTGGGGAGAGGGTGACACCAGTGACAGAGGGTGACCCCCCACCACACACACACACACACACACAGAGTGACGCCACGCAGTGACAGAGAGTGACGCCACACACAGAGTGACCCCCACACACACAGAGTGACATCACACACAGAGTAACATCACACACAGAGTGACATCACACACACAGAGTGACATCACACACAGAGTGACCCCACACACAGAGTAACATCACACACAGAGTGACATCACACACAGAGTGACATCACACACACAGAGTGACCCCACACACAGAGTGACCCCACACACAGAGTAACATCACACACAGAGTGACCCCACACACAGAGTGACGCCACACACAGAGTGACATCACACACAGAGTGACCCCACACACAGAGTGACGCCACACACAGAGTGACATCACACACAGAGTGACATCACACACAGAGTGACATCACACAGTGACTGACAGAGGGTGACCCCCACACACAGAGTGACGCCACACACAAAGTGACCCCACACACAGAGTGACATCACATACAGAGTGACCCCACATACAGAGTGACATCACACACAAAGTGACCCCACACACAGAGTGACATCACACACAAAGTGACCCCACACACAGAGTGACATCACACACAAAGTGACCCCACACACAGAGTGACGTCACACACAAAGTGACCCCACACACAGAGTGACCCCACACACAGAGTGACGCCACACACAGAGTGACGTCACACACAAAGTGACCCCACACACAGAGTGACATCACACACAAAGTGACCCCACACACAAAGTGACATCACACACAAAGTGACCCCACACACAGAGTGACCCCACACACAGAGTGACCCCACACACAGAGTGACCCCACACACAGAGTGACATCACACACAGTGACATCACACACAGAGTGACATCACACACACAGAGTGACATCACACACAGAGTGTCCCCACACACAGAGTGACCCCACACACAGAGTGACATCACACACAGAGTGACCCCACACACAGAGTGACATCACACACAGAGTGACCCCACACACAGAGTGACCCCACACACAGAGTGACATCACACACAGAGTGACATCACACACAGAGTGACGCCACACACAGAGTGACCCCACATACAGAGTGACATCACACACAGAGTGACCCCATACATAGAGTGACCCCACACACAGAGTGACATCACACACAGCCCCACACACAGAGTGACCCCACACACAGAGTGACATCACACACAGAGTGACATCACACACAGAGTGACATCACACAGTGACTGACAGAGGGTGACCCCCACACACAGAGTGACGCCACACACAGAGTGACGTCACACACAAAGTGACCCCACACACAGAGTGACATCACATACAGAGTGACCCCACATACAGAGTGACATCACACACAAAGTGACCCCACACACAGAGTGACATCACACACAAAGTGACCCCACACACAGAGTGACATCACACACAAAGTGACCCCACACACAGAGTGACGTCACACACAAAGTGACCCCACACACAGAGTGACATCACACACAAAGTGACCCCACACACAAAGTGACATCACACACAAAGTGACCCCACACACAGAGTGACCCCACACACAGAGTGACCCCACACACAGAGTGACCCCACACACAGAGTGACATCACCACAGTGACATCACACACAGAGTGACATCACACACACAGAGTGACATCACACACAGAGTGTCCCACACACAGAGTGACCCCACACACAGAGTGACATCACACACAGAGTGACCCCACACACAGAGTGACATCACACACAGAGTGACCCCACACACAGAGTGACCCCACACACAGAGTGACATCACACACAGAGTGACATCACACACAGAGTGACGCCACACACAGAGTGACCCCACATACAGAGTGACATCACACACAGAGTGACCCCATACATAGAGTGACCCCACACACAGAGTGACATCACACACAGCCCCACACACAGAGTGACCCCACACACAGAGTGACCCCACACACAGAGTGACCCCACACACAGAGTGACGCCACACACAGAGTGACCCCACACACAGAGTGACATCACACACAGAGTGACATCACACACAGAGTGACCCCACACACAGAGTGACATCACACAGTGACTGACAGAGGGTGACCCCCACACACAGAGTGACATCACACACAAAGTGACCCCACACACACAGTGACATCACACACAAAGTGACCCCACACACAGAGTGACATCACACACAGTGACATCACACACAGAGTGACATCACACACAGAGTGACCCCACATACAGAGTGACATCACACACAAAGTGACCCCACACACAGAGTGACATCACACACAGAGTGACCCCACACACAGAGTGACATCACACACAGAGAGTGATCCCACACACAGAGTGATCCCACACACAGAGTGACATCACACACAGAGTGACCCACACACAGAGTGACCCCACATACAGAGTGACATCACACACAGAGTGACCCCATACATAGAGTGACCCCACACACAGAGTGACGCCACACAGTGACAGAGAGTGACCCCACACACAGAGTGACCCCACACACAGAGTGACCCCACACACAGAGTGACCCCACACACAGAGTGACCCCACACACAGAGTGACATCACACACAGAGTGACATCACACACAGAGTGACCCCACACACAGAGTGACATCACACAGTGACTGACAGAGGGTGACCCCCACACACAGAGTGACGCCACACACAGAGTGACATCACACACAAAGTGACCCCACACACAGAGTGACATCACACACAAAGTGACGCCACATACAGAGTGACATCACACACAGAGTGACCCCACACACAGAGTGACCCCACATACAGAGTGACATCACACACAGAGTGACCCCATTCATAGAGTGACATCACACACAGAGTGACCCCACACACAGAGTGACGCCACACACAGAGTGACCCCATACATAGAGTGACCCCACACACAGAGTGACGCCACACAGTGACAGAGAGTGACCCCACACACAGAGTGACCCCACACACAGAGTGACCCCACACACAGAGTGACCCCACACACAGAGTGACCCCACACACAGAGTGACATCACACACAGTGACATCACACACAGAGTGACCCCACACACAGAGTGACATCACACAGTGACTGACAGAGGGTGACCCCCACACACAGAGTGACGCCACACACAGAGTGACATCACACACAAAGTGACCCCACACACAGAGTGACATCACACACAAAGTGACGCCACATACAGAGTGACATCACACACAGAGTGACCCCACACACAGAGTGACCCCACATACAGAGTGACATCACACACAGAGTGACCCCATTCATAGAGTGACATCACACACAGAGTGACCCCACACACAGAGTGACGCCACACAGTGACGGAGAGTGACCCCACACACAGAGTGACTCCACACACAGAGTGACCCCACACAGTGACAGAGAGTGACCCCACACACAGAGTGACGCCACACAGTGACAGAGAGTGACCCCACACACAGAGTGACCCCACACACAGAGTGACTCCACACACAGAGTGACCCCACACAGTGACAGAGACTGACCCCACACACAGAGTGACCCCACACAGTGACAGAGAGTGACCCCACACACAGAGTGACGCCACACAGTGACACAGAGTGACACCACACAGTGACAGAGACCACGAGACCGTGTCTGAGAGGGACCAGAGAAAGGGTGATCACAAACCAATAATACAGTGACAGAGTGAAAACAGAGAACAGTGACAGAGGGTCATAGCAAAGAATAATAATGTAGAGTAACAGAGCGTGACCCTGGGTGGTGGGGGGAGAGCGAATGACAGAGTGTCGGGGAAGCGTGTGGAGCGACTTGTGTGGTGACGAGGAGTGTGGCGAGCGACGTGGGGAGGGTGGGGAGTGTCGAGCAGCGTGGAGAGTGACAGCATGACAAGGAATGACGGAGCCTGGTGGGGCGTGTGGAGAGCGATGGGGGAGATTGGAGGGCAAGAACGGTGGGCTGGGGGGGGGGGGGGGTGGGGGGGGAAGCCAATGCAAGAGCTACTCCAGTGTAAAATGGCTGCCTTGAGAAATGGCAGGTTTCAGGTTTTCATTTAGTTATAGTCTTCATCTGTAGATCAAAATAGTGAGCACTTATAACTTGACTTTCAAGCTTCTGTACTTCCCGACCCGGAAAAAAGGAGCTTTATCCTTCGTTGCTACTCATTCTGGAAAAAGCACAACGTTTGAACTCAGCACAAGGCCTTAAATTCACGGAGGATCATGTTGCTACCTTACGGATGATGGGTGTTGATGGGATCGTGTTTCCTATTTGGTCTATACTTGGATAATATCCAACGCGGTAGATGAAAGTACAGCTAAGATTCAGTTTTGTTTTGTACAGTGCCTGTGGAATAAGTGTTGTTGGTTTTTCTATGTATTAGTTGCTCTGGCTGTCTTTTTGCAACCGTTTGATTGTAGCACATCAAAAGTACTTCACAAAATGAATTTTGTTCGCCCACAAATATACAGTTAATTCACTTTACAATGTGTTCTGTGAAGCGCTTTGGGACGTCCTCCCGACGTGAAAAGCGCTATATCAAATGCAAGGATTATTATTATTATTATTATTTTTCAGTACAGTGAAACCATACAAATTGCAGTGACTAATTATGCTGGCAAATAGTTATCTAACCTGCCAAGCCACATTTCCACATTTCATTGCAATAAACAACACAAGAACAACAATACAAATTTATATAGCACATTACATGTCAGGAGAATGTCTCAAGATGCTGGACAGTCTAAGGTTTGCACCCAAGGTGTGGGTCGGGGCCATTAGGGAAAGGGGTAGGGGAAGGAAAGATGGCTAAAAGCGTGGTCTAAGAGCAGGGGTGGGCAATTATGTTGGCTGGAGGGCCACTTTCTGAGTTTTAGTAAGCTTCGCGGGCCACACACACTTAATATAAATGCAAATGCTTAATACTAGCTCAAAATTAAGTCTTACAGAGGTGCTGTAGTTCTAAAGTTGTAATCCGGATTGTAAGGTAGGAGCATAGTAAAGATGGTTGTCCTTAACTTCATTTCCTGGTCAGGAAGGAACGTCAAGGCAGGCATCTTGACCATGTGCCTCCTTACAACATGGTCCCTTGATGTCTCTTCATATCTGTGGATGTGCACCACACAAGGCAGAGCGAAACCTTCGGCAAATTTACTTACTCCACACACCTAATAGTAATCCCTCCAAAGCAATAATAAATTGGTCATTTTCAATCCACGACTGTTTGTGGGACACTGCTGGGCGCAATTGGCTGCTTCGTTTTAACCACAAATATACAGTCAATTCACTTTACAGCATATTCTGTGAAGCGCTTTGAGACGTCTAGAAGACGTGAAAAGCACTATATCAAATGCAAGGATTATTATATTATTATTACTTATACATGCATACGATAAAGTCTATATAATTGACATTCATTAAAATTAGGTTAAATAAAAACAACTCATTGAGCAGACATTTATTCGATATTTATTCATTTATTCACATATTGATGAGAATGTGAGAAGCTCACTCAATGGGAAGAATTAAAGCGCTGATACGCGTTAACCAGACAATTGAAGTCAGGCATCGTCTCGGTTGTTGCAATGCGGAGTACTGCTGCAAGGTGGTCATCGGTCATCACAGATCTATGTTTTGATTTATTGAATTTCATCACAGAAAATGTCTCCTTGCTGTTGATCCTTGTATGTTGATCCAAACAGCATAAGCATCTCCTCCGGGCATGAGCCTTTATTTTTGGAAAAGTATATTCATTAAGAGAGGTATAAAAACTGGGAATTGCTCCGAAAGCAATGGATCACATTGCATGTCAATAAGCTTGAGTTGGAGGTCAAATGGGGCTTTGTCAACATCAAATGAGAAAGGTGAAGAGACCAAAGACAGGTCATTTTCGATCAAATTGAAATCCTGGAATTGGCAAGAAAATTCGTCATGAAGGTCAAGTAGTGGCGAAGTATACTTTTTAAGGCTTTGATCGCAAACAATAAATCTGCTGCAAAGTTGGAAAGTGGGCAAACAGCCTGTTTCCTATCTGATGCGGTAAAATAAATAATTTTGTCATAAATGACTTGACACTGCAATACAAATCATGCGCAAAGGCCCCCTTCCGTTGCAGTTTTGAATTCAGTTCATTCATGTGGCCCATGATATCATGGGCAAATGCGAAATCAGAGAGCCAATTCGCATCATTCAGCTGTGGGAAATCCGAATCTTTTTCTTTCATGACCAAAAATAAGTCAGTCTCTATTCTCAGTTCCCACACTCTTTTCAAGACCTTTCCTAAACTAAGCCATCTTACATTCGTGTGATACAGAACATCCGTGTGCTCGGCTTCCAATTCCTCAAGCACAGTTACAAATTGCCTGTGGTTTAATCCTCTTGCTCAAATGTAGTTGACCACTTTCGTAACTGTGTCCACGACATTGAACATTCTTACAGAGGACCTCTTTGTGGATAATGCAGTGTAGAAAAACAATATTCTGTTCTGGATTTGTTTCTTTGACTTGATCTTGAATTCTTTTCAGTAACCCAACATTTTTGCCTGGGAGATTTGGGCTTCCATCGGTCGTCACATTCGCCATTTTTTTCCACTCCACTCCTAATTTTAAGATACACTTATTTACTGCCTCCAAAAAGTCTTCTCCAGTCATCATATCTTTCATTGACTGCATTGCTGCCAATTCTTCTGTGAGCTCAAAATGTTTGGTGATACCTCGAATAAAAATTATCAACTGGGCTGTGTCTTTGACATCACAACTCTCATCAAGTGCCAGTGAAAAACATGGAAAATTGCTTACTTTATTTTGTAACTGCAGATACAGGTTCTCAGAGATATCCTCGACACGTCTCACAATAGTTCGCCTTGACAAGCTAATGTTCTCAAACTGGTTTTTCTTATCTGGGCATAAAATCGAGGCAGAGTCAACCATAATTTCCTTTATAAATTCTCCTTCAGAGAATGGTTTGCTGTTCTTGGCGAGTTTGTGTGCAATCACGTAACTCACTCTTGGAATCTCATCCTGGGACGCAAATTGTTTTGTGAAAAAGCTTTGCTCTTCTTGCATTCGAACAACCATCTCATCAGCTTTCTTTCCTTTTTCTTCGGCAGAAACGTTCTTATATTTGCGAGCATGTTTGCTCTCAAAATGGCGATTCAAGTTGTATTCTTTGAGCACTGCCACAATTTCTTTGCAAATTACGCACACAGCTTTTCCACCCACACCGGTAAAAAAATATTTAGAAGTCCATTCTTTGTTGAATATTCGGCCTTCAGCGTTCACCTTCCGCTTCTTTGATAAACTCATTTCGAATTAACGTCCACTTCAGTGCGCGCGTGTTTGAAAATTTGCCGATTGATACATTTCTGACGTCAGCCTGATTCAACATTTAAGGGAGCCTGCGCTTAACTGAGCAGTGTGATTGGCTAATGTTCCCAGTCTGGTTCAAATGCGAAATTTGTGGAGAAAAAAGCTAACGACTTTAGCAATTAAAAATCGATGCTGTGACAAAAGTAAGAAACGTAAGGGACGCATTTAAAACTGATCCTTTCTGGCACTAACAAACTATAATTTTTTCTATTGCTAAACACAATGATGGGTCGGATAGAATCATTTGGGGGGCCGGTTACGGCCCGTGGACCGTATTTTGCCCACCCCTGTTCTAAGAGGAAGGTCTTGAGGCAGACCTTGAAGGAGCCGAGGCAATGGTTGAGTCGAAGGCATTCTGGATGGAGCCCCAGAGAGTGGGGGCAGATAGGCTGAAAGCCTGACTGTCGCTGATGGGGTGGGCAGGGCAGGGAACATGAAGTTGGCTGGTGCCCACTGAGCCAGGGACTGTTTTTTAGGGTTTGAGGAGGTCACAGAAGTAGGGTGAGGAGAAACGTTGGAAGGATTTAAAGGTTAGAACAAGGATCTTGAACTCGATACAATGGGCAGCCGGTGGAGTCAGGCGAGGATGGGTGTACTATGCTCATGGAGTAGTGTGGGGAAATGAACATGCGAGCAATTGTATGAACAGCAATAAAGTGAATCGCAGTTTCTAAGTTAGATGTGTTTTTTTGTAGAAGATCCCCGCAGCTTGTCGAACTGGAGTTCGCAACTTCCACTTTGCTGTCTATGGAAAGCAAAACAAGAAAACCGCCACAGTTTCAGATGCAGTAAGTAAAGATCTGTAAAGCTTAAATCTATAACCAGCAGTCTTTCGATGTAGGTTTCTCTTTCCTGAATTACATGCTTCACTGCATCAGGTATTTTGCATTACCCATCTGCTGCAGTAAAATTCTGATCTGTATAACTTGTTTAATCGCCTACGCCGTACATCTGTCCAAGTCTCGTTGAATTTCCTGTAACTTATGCAAGTTTCACAAAGCTCACACTTTGCATAAGTCATGTTAAATGTATGGTCCCAACAGGTACGACTTATTTGCGATTTACTGTATATCTTCATTACCCCTGTTGCATTTGACATCCTTCATTGCAAGTACACAAAATTATGTACTGAATTTCAGATCCAAAGTATCAAAGCTTAGTGTTTACTTTTCAAGTTATTTTTAAGTTGTGTGATTTTGTATACTGTATGAATATTAAACCAACAGTGATGCACTCAATTCGAGATGATTTTCAAGATAGTAAAGGGAACTGAGTGGAAAATGATTCAATTGAGTGTAACCTATTGCTCCAGAATCCCAAACAAGGGGGTGTAAATGTAATCTTAAAAAGTAGTGAAAGGAGACATTTCTTCACTCACAGTTGCGGAATTTACTTCCTCAAGGAACTATTAATGCATAGTCAGTGGGAATGTTTGTGGGAAGAAGATAAATACTTGGTTAGTAAGGGTATCAGGGTGGAGGGAATAGAGAAGATAGACAAAAGGTATTGAGTTTCAGGTGTATGAAAATGGTGGAGCAGGCTTGATGGTTAAATGGCCTTGTTCCGTTGCTATTTTTTCAAGAGTCCAAGCTGTGGATTTGGGGGAAATAAGTGGAAGCTTGGGTTGTAATCTCTGACTCAAGTTACAGTGTCTTAAGTGGGAGGTTCAAATAGGAATGCACATTGCCTGTGCTCTAATGGTTAATTATTTCAAGGTTTATTTGAAGAAATTTTTTTTTATGCGAGTATAAAGAATTTCAGTTAATAAATGTCTGGTTTCCAAACATCACTAAAGGAACAGCCATATATAGTGCACAAAGTGATGATGCCATACTCCCTTTAGATTTATTAAAGTGTGTGTATGTGTGTCGATTGGCAGATCGCTTTCTGGGGGTAGTAATGCCTTAAAAAAAATGTGGCCACTCAATCCACGACTGTTTATGGGACACTGGCTGCCATGTTTCGCCCAAAAAATATACAGTCACTGCACTTTACAGTATATTCTGTGAAGTGCTTTGAGACGTCTCAATGATGTGATAAGGCGCTATATGAAATACAAGGGTTATTATTATTACATCCCTTCTATTTTTATTCATTATTGCACATCTGATGCTCACCAGAATATAGCCATGTTTGCAATATTCTCAAGACTGATGTTGGTTGCATTAAACAAAGTTCTGAGAGATGGTAAAAGGGCTCACATGCTCGGAGAAATGCATTGAACTTTCAACCAGCCTGCGATAAGACAATGTTTCACTCGTAAAGCAAAGTTCAATTGTGATGTCCTTGCCAGCCTCAAAAGTTTTTATTGATGTAACAATTTCTAATCAAATTTATTTAGCATTAAGATTATATCTGCTGCCTCGTGCAGAGATCACATAGTCCTTTCCAATGTGATATCTATTTTTCTAATCAAAAGTAGTAATATACATATTTTTAAAATGTAACCGAAGATTGCAAAGGGTTAATGAATTTAATTTTCAATGAGTTTCTTCCTCATTGCCTAATGCCACACGAATACTAAACCCCAAACCTCTACACAGCAACAACCGATTCTAAAGAAAAGGAATAAAGGATAGCAATTTCTCCCGGTGAAAAATACAGTATTCAAATGACAGAAAATCCGTTAGTAATTATTTTTCAAATTGCAATTTATGCACTTAAAATAGTCCACTGCAATAAGAGGAAAAAAATAGAAATAGCTTTGCAAACACAATTGAGTCACAATATGCGAATTTGTAAAAATGATTACTCTAGTGGACCCTCTGAAACACTGTGGTGTCTGAGTGACGTTCTATCAGGTCAGTTTACACTGCATCCAGGATTTACTATTTACGATCAGCGTGAATTAGACTGAAGATTAGCAGAAGCTGGGTATCGTTTGGGAATGAGATTTGTCTTGAGTTCTTATTCATTATGCGATGCAATAAACTGGTTTCTGATTCAAACACATTTCTTTGGATATTAATTGACTATTTTAAGTGATCTGTTTGTAAAAGTTAAAATGCTGATCAGTGGTTATCAAATGTTCATAGTTTTTTTAAGGTTTCAGTTTGAGTTTTTTTTACTGTTACGTGTTTTTTGTGTGGTATGTGTATGTGTATTAGCTCTAGAACCTGCTGTTGGTAACCATCTGTTTCCCATTTTGCACAGGTCTCAACTCAGTACCCTGTGGTCGATCATGAGTTTGATGCTGTTGTTGTTGGAGCAGGTGGAGCTGGCTTGCGAGCAGCTTTCGGTTTATCCGAGGCTGGCTTTAACACTGCATGTATTACAAAACTCTTTCCTACAAGATCACACACCGTCGCAGCACAGGTGAGATTAGATCCCTACTGAAGTACTGCTTCTCATTTAGTTTGGGGGTCTAATGTGCAATGGGTTGAAGCAGCACATTTCATTGTTTTGGTAAACACGATCTTGAATTCTTGAATTGACAGAACTTTTTTATTCTGCATAAACACCACTGATCAAAAGTGAAGAAGTCTCCACAGTGCTGTGATACCTTTAATACCTCCGCGACTGATTAAAACTGCACCAACCTTCCACTCTCAATGTTCTGCAGGCACCGGCCTGCTCCATGCCCACCACTGGCAGTCGAGCCTATATCCTTCTCTGCCCCCACCCTTTGGAACTCCATCCCAGAGAGACTCCGCTTCATGCTTTCTCTTGCATCCATCAAGACCATCTCAAGACCTTCCTTTTTCAATCGTGCATTCGGTCATCTTCCCTCCTCCACCCCCTCTTGCTCTCCACCCCTCTCTGATGTCAACCCGCAGCTGGGCTGCAAACCCCTTATTGTCCAGCGCCTTACGATGTTATCCTGACGTGAAAGGTGCTATATAAATGTTGTAACTGGCAAATTTTGTAACTTCACCATTACCAATATAATTCAGTGTCCTGATTCAAATTTGGCTGCTTTTTGTATATTAATGGCTATGAAATGCACCAAAGGGGGAGTGTAATATACAGCACTGGACACTGGAGACATTTTTAAAAATTTTGCAGGGTGGAATAAATGCTGCCCTGGGTAATATGGAGAGTGATGATTGGAGATGGCATTTCTACGACACAGTGAAGGGATCCGACTGGCTGGGAGATCAAGATGCGATTCACTACATGACTGAGCAGGCACCAGCAGCTGTTATTGAGGTATGATCTCTTGCAATTTTCTGATCCATAAAACTATCCATGTTGTCCAAAAGAAAATTTATTATCAGGACTAGATAGTGCAGTGGGTCATTACTTACTGGCCTTTCATCTCGGTCAGTCTGGCTCAGTTGGTTGATTCTCGCATTTGAGTCAGAAGATGGTGGGTTCAAGCCCTAAGTTAGGAGTTGGAACTTAAACACTCAGATACAATGCTGAGGGTGTACTGTATTGTCGGAGGTTCCATCCTTCAGATTGAGAGAGTAAAACCGAGGTCCCATCTGCCTGTTCAGATGGATGTTAAGGATCTTGTGGCACTATTTAAAAAGAGAAGGGATCTTCACCCGGTGTCCTGGCCAACAATCTCCCAAATAAAATTGGTCTTTGATTTTATGGCTGTTTCTGGTCAATGTTATGCACAAATTGGCTGGTGCCTTTGCCCACAAAATACACAGTCACTCTACTTACAGTATAACAATAATAATCCTTGCATTTGACTGCCTCTTACCGCAGGCCACCACTCTTTCATTACATCCTGGCTTTACTACGCCAACTGCCTGCTCACTGGACTTCCCAACTCTTCCCTCCACAAGCTGCAGATTATTCAGAGCTCTGCAGCTCGTGTCCTCTCCCACACCAGGGCCTGGGAACCTATCACCCCCATTCTTGACCGGCTTCACTGGCACCCCATTCTCAGAGAATCTGGTACAAAACCATCGTCCTTACCTTAAAGGCCATCTAAAGTCTTGCTCCCCCTACCTCTCCAACCCCATAACCCCACATCAGCCTGTCCACTCCCTCCGCTCAGCAGACACTGGCCTGCTTCAGGTCCCACGCACTTCTCGCCCCACCATTGGTGGTTGGGCATTCAGCATCTCTGCCGAACACTCTGGAACTCTATCCCGCAGTCCCTCTGCCTCAGCCCCTCTCTTGCCTCCTTCCAAGTCCTGTCTGAAGACCTTCCTCTTCCACCTGCCCTCCTCCCCTTCTGACCCCCAACTCCCCTGATTGTCCAGTGCCATGGGCTGTCTTTCCAATGTGAAGGGCACTATACAAGTGTAATTTTGTTGTTGCTGATATAGCAGCTTCGAGACATCTTAAAGCGCTTCCCAGAATATACTGTAAAGTCAGTTGACTATATTTTGTGGGCAAAACGTGGCAGCCAATTGTGCACAGCAGTGTCCCACAAAGAGTCATGGATTGAGTGACCAAATTATTATTATTTTTATTTATTTGTTTATTTTTTTGAATGGATTATTAACCCCAGAAAAGCGATTCAACAATTGAATAACAATTGGGATCCTACTTACTGCTAGGGGAACAGAGGCTTGCGGAGTAAGGAAACTTACCCAAAGTTTTGTCCTGCCAGGAATTGAACCCAGGTCCTCTCACTTGCGAGGTGAGTGCTCTGACCACTAATCTACAAGACTCCACAGTATATACTGTGAAGTACTTTGAGAAGTCCTCCGACATGAAGGGCACTATCATATGTAAGGGTTATTATTATAAATATTAGGACCATAAAGGCATAATTGCACACTTTCTCTTTTTGTCTTTGTGCCAGTTGGAAAATTATGGTATGCCATTCAGCAGAACTGAGGCTGGGAAGATTTATCAGCGTGCATTTGGTGGACAGAGTCTGCAGTTTGGAAAAGGAGGCCAAGCTCATCGTTGCTGTTGTGTTGCAGACCGAACTGGTCACTCCTTGTTGCACACATTGTATGGCCGGGTAAGATGCAGTCAGATTTTGCATGAAATCTGGTAACTGCAATATGTATTAAATTGCAAATTTTAAGTGTGTTTCCTATTATCCAGTTGCCACTTGTGCAGAGTCCAGATGAGTAAAATTGTTCCTGATATTAAGGAATGCTTGACATGGGCGATCAACTATACGAACGTGATATTTTACTTCCTGCAGTATTTCAGATTTCGTAACAAATCTCTGTGTCTGCCATCAGTTCTGAGCCTTAAATCCTACCCGATCGGTATGTTTCTGAAATGCTTGTTCAAGAGACAATTAAAGTGAATTAAAGTAAAGGTTCCTTTACCATCAGTATCTGGATCATGGGGACAGTGATGTGTTTATACTATTTGGTGGGAAGGTGTTGAATTCAGAGAAGAACTAAAAATAGATATTTAGCTTTTTTTAACCATTCTATCATTGCTCAAGTTTCAGCCACCAGCTGAGCGAGAAGTTGAGTGGTTATTTTTCTGTTTTGCTCCCAACGACATGTAGTGCTAGAATTCTGTTTTTTCACTTCTCGCCCACTCTCTCCCCTCATTGAAAGACATTGCTATCATCGCTTTGTTTGAGCTTCGAATGAAGGAACTATTTTGCATGTAAGGAACCCAATAAAAAAAAGCGATAATTTGTAATGGAATAAAACCTGTCTTGTTTTTCCAAAAAGGTTCAGTGTTTCTTAAATGAGGAACAACAGAACTAAGATGTTGCTGGAACTGTTCATATTAGAGACTTGGAGGTATATTGGGCAAGTTTACTTATTCCACACGCCTAATAATAATCCCTCCAAAATAATAATAAATTGGTCATTTTCAATCCATGACTGATTGTGGACACTGCTGTGCGCAATTGGCTGCCGCATTTTGCCCACAAATATACGGTCAATTCACTTTACAGCATATTCTGTAAGGCGCTTTGGGACGTCTAGAAGATGTGAAAAGCGCTATATCAAATGCAAGGATTATTATTATTATTATATTGTATGACTTCATGAGAAACCTACTCACTTGCTCTGGACACGCTCATGCACTTAAAAACTTGACACGGTAGTAACTCCCAAATCATTTTGTGATCGTGTTTGGATGTACATGTCTGAAAATCTTCTAAAAAATGTAGTGTGTGAAATGGATTCTTCCTCATGTATAACCAGAATTGTGATGTATGTTTACAGTCACTGAGGTATGACACCAGCTACTTTGTTGAATACTTTGCCCTGGATCTCCTGATGGAAGGTGGAGAATGTCGAGGTGTGATTGCACTGTGTATGGAGGATGGTTCTATTCATCGCTTTAGGGCCAATAACACTGTAATTGCTACTGGGTAAGAGGAATAGTAGATATTAAGAAATATGTTTTAAGAATTCCTAAATATTATTTTGCAAATCGATAATTGTATACCACATTCTGGATTACAGGTTGGTCCCTGCTGGTTCCAAAGCTAAACAAATGGTCTACTTCTGGGTTATCAGGTCGTGCCCAATGTTACTTCCTGTGTACTGCACACAGACAATACAGGAAGTGACAGTGGCGACCTGATGACCTGGAAGTCCCATTAATTTAAACAGGAAGCGAACATACTGGCTTCATGCATATGCAGTGATTGGGGACCACACACAAAAATCGTGTTATTAACCAATCTGCATCACAAAAAAAGTGTGTATTTACAGGGCTGTACAGTAGTTTCTTTAAAGAAAAAAAACATTTAAAATGTTTCAAATATTCAATTTTTATATGGACTCTTAAAAACTCAGTCCAATAATGCTCCCATCTCACCAGGTTTAAAAAAAACATTTTCCCTAACTCTTTAAATGTAACCAACAGCAGTCTGAGAATATTGGAAACATGGCTATATTCCAGTGATTATCAGATGTGCAACAATGAATAAAAATAGAGGAAATAAATCTAAAGGGAGTATGGAATCCTCATTTTGTGCACTACATATGGCAAGCCTCTGTTCCTTCGGTGATGTATGTCACAGGGTTAGTCAGGTGTCATGCAGAAAGGCTCTTTTGAGTTTTAAGTTCCTTTGAGATAGCTAGCTGACCATAGAAACGTGAATTGCTGGCTGGATATTCCTGCAAACTCTCCTGTAATGCACTTTCAGGGAGTTGTGTGGCTCAGGATTGATTTTCAGGCTAGTCCAGAATGCCCACTCCCATTGACGGAACCTCTTAATGGAGCTTGTAACTCCTGTAACTTTTATCGTACACCAGCAAATTGTCTTGGATTATAGGAAGCAGGTTCTATATAGATAGAGCAAAAAGCTTGTATTTCTAACAAGTAAGATACCTTTTGTGAATTTTCCTCCAAGTAGAGGGAGTGCTTTGAACAAAAACTGCTTCTTCAGGTCTTAGCCTTAGGCCAAAACTATTTTGTTAAAAAGAAAATCAAAGAAGCAGTGGGTTGGGTGTGAAAATGTTATTTGATCATATACTGTTTATTATGGCAAGCACTTATCCAATATGCTTTGAAAGTCTCCAGGTAAATTTATGACAGTTTATCCTTTATGAAGCAAAACTGTTAGATTAAATGTTCGTTCTGATTTGTAGTGGGTATGGGAGAGCCTACTTCAGCTGTACTTCAGCACATACAAACACTGGAGATGGAGTGGCCATGGTCACTAGAGCTGGGCTGCCCAACCAGGATTTGGAGTTTGTCCAGTTCCACCCAACAGGTAAGAGATGCTTGATTCCCAAAGACTGTTGTATCATATTTTCATCTTTCTTTTATAACAATCAAAGATGTTGTGGTAGCGACTGGAAAGGAAAAGCCTGTTGCAGATGTTTTCACAAACTGATCTGTGAAACAGGACTCAAACTTGATTTTCTCCATTCAATTATTGGAGTCGATGCAGGTCTGAATATGTTTTCACATTTTCTACCTCACTAATCCTAGTATCCTAATCACTACAACAGCATCAACAACAACTTGGATTTATATAGCGCCCTCCACGCTGGACGGCGTCTCAAAGGTGAGGTCGAAAAGAAAGGTCTTCAGCAGAGACCTGAAAATAGCGAGGCAAAGGGAGTGAGGAAGGGAATTTCAGAGCCTCGGGGCATAGTGGCTGAAGGCATGGCTGTCGAGGGTGGAGCAGAGGACTCAGGAGAGGAGGAGGAGGCTGGACCCGGAGGAACTAGGCCTAGTATATCTCACTCTATTAAATGAGAGCCGCAAAGATTAGCCGTGCTTTGTTCATCATCTGATTGTTCATTTTGCGTACCTGGAGGATCCTACTAACCATGTCTTACACGCACTGTGTTTTGGTCAGCAACTTCAGTTGTGTCACCACATTGACTTGGAAGCAAAAAGGAGAAATCAAAGCCACAGTTGCGGATGGCTTAGCCCAGCTGATTTGCTCTGCAGTGTAAAGTATATGACTCTCTGCAGATGGAAATCACTGGTGGCTCGTTGTTCTAGCAAACTACTCTTTCACCTCTGGTGACCTGGATTCAAATCTGTGTAAAATCTCCTGTCTGCAGTTATATCTGAAATGCGTTGCGCAATCTTAAGCAGGTTATTATTCATTATCAGTTCATAGAACAAACCACTGGAGGACCAACATTTAACAGAGGTTTGTAAGCACAGAATTTGTTGAGAAATTAGAGAATATTTGACATCTCTGTTGAGTTAATGCGGAACAACATCATCCACATATAGATGTCTCGATAACCATTTAATTAATGTTATAGTTAATCTCTTCTGAACTGATGCAGTTAAAGGCTTATTTGAGGTGCAGTGAATCGAGGCAACTTCCTGTTGCCTCTGGAGGTTAAAGGGTAAAACCTTTGTTCTGACCTTATCAACAGTGAGGGAGAGAGATTTGTGGAGCCCTGTGGTCCTCTTGCAAAAGATCTTGCTTCAAGAGATTTGATTTACTGTTCAGTAACCATTGAAATCCATGAAGGACAGAGAGAGCAATAGCATTCCCTTTTTCTTGACTTGGTGGTGACGGTGGCAACATCAGTGTGATCAGGGTGGCCAAGCGACTGTACCTTGGATTGAAGTGGGAGTAGTAGAAGCTTGAAGTGAGGGGAACCCTAAGATGGCTAAATATTTATATCCCTCAAATATTCAATACTTACTGTATTACCTTGGTATATTCATTGCAATCTTAGATAGTACTATATAAGAAGGCTGGCTGTGAGTACTAGGATTCAAGTAATTGGGAACATCTTTAAAATGGGTATTGGTATCCATTCGGTGATGGGAACTTACAGGAACATGTGTTCCAACAAGTTGCCATTAAACGTTTGAGTATGATTGTTTTTTTACAAACTAAACAATACAACAAGATGTTCCCCTGTATAAGTTTTACCTTATTATTTGAAAGGATTCTCCTTTTATGCGACCACTTTTAAAGTCTTACTTTGGGGTTTACTGGTAGCATTGGGGATTTTTTAAAAAACGTTTGCCCATCTAAGATATTATTAATAATAATGTAAATCATTATAATAAGAGATCAGGAAACGCTCAGGTACTACACTGATGTTTTCACTTTTCTAGGAATCTACGGTGCCGGTTGCCTTATTACTGAAGGCTGTCGTGGTGAAGGTGGAATTCTCATCAACAGTGAGGGAGAGAGATTCATGGAACGCTATGCTCCTGTTGCCAAAGATCTTGCTTCAAGAGATGTGGTTTCACGTTCGATGACCATTGAAATGCGTGAAGGACGGTAAGCATTAGATTCCCTTTTTGTATCTTTTCCCCAAGGATTGAACTATTTCAGGCGTTTTCCTCTCCTCTGGATTTCCATGTCGTGTACCACCTATAAGTGAAGGGGACAGAAGCCTACAGCGGGATCTGCTAGTTATTCATTGAACCAGCCACAAGGTGGTGCCACTGATTCACATATGGGCGCAAACCCAAAGTCTCTCACCTGAAATATCCTACATTTTTGAACTTGAGAGAATGGTCTTAAACTGAACATTCAGTGGAATCTGTTGAATGTTGATTACTTGATATATAATTGAACCTTGGTGCATTTGGAAACAAGAATGCATTTGGCTAATATGCAAATTTTACACTTCATTTGTAACAATTCTTATTTTTCGATTTTATGATCGCAAAGTTTTCAATAAATAATTGATTGTAGTGATTTTTATGCGGGGGAGGGGTTTCGTGGCTCTATTACCTGTATTTTGTATGTATGGGGTGGGGGCAGTTACATTATGTACTTTGTTAATACTTTTACAGTATTTTGTTAAGTGCCTTGGGACATCCTTCTGATGTGAAAGGCATGATATAGATGTAAATTTGCATTGTATCCAAAATCAGTAATCAGGTGCAGGTGTAATAATTCAATCTCTGCTTGATCAATTGTCATCTATCTTGTTTGAACATCCCCTCCTGGCGTGTTGTTGTACTGGCTTGTAGTTTCCAAATGGATAAGGCTTTTAGTTTGATTTTTGGCGACAAGCTCTTTATTCTCCAAACAGTGGCTGTGGCCCCGATAAGGACCATGTGTACCTACAGCTGCACCATTTGCCACCCCAACAGCTGGCTACACGTCTTCCTGGTATTTCAGAGACCGCCATGATTTTTGCTGGAGTCGATGTCACTAAAGAGCCCATTCCAGTTCTTCCCACCGTGCATTACAATATGGGGGGTATCCCCACTAACTACAAAGGACAGGTAAGTCCTAGCCTACACTTCTGTCCTCTCTATAGTGGTTTGTAAGCTTGAGGTTCTTGTGACATGCTGGTGCATCACTTTGAAAGATAGGATTGCTAGAATGTCTTTATATTGCTTGTAGTTTTATTTGAATTTACACAAAAGCCCTATCTTTTTGTAAGTGTATTTTTGACTCCGAATTCTTAGTCTAGGCTGACACTTCCAGTGCAGTGCTGGGGACTGATGCAATGCTGGAGGTGCTGACCTTCGGATGAGATATTAAATCAAGGTCACCTCTGCTGTTAGGTGGACCTTAAGTATTCCATGGCACTATTTGAAAAGACAAGGGAGTTTTTTTCTGGTGTCCTGGCGACAATCAAATAAAACTGATCACTCACTCGGTAGCTGTTTGTGGGACATCGATGCGTGCAGATTGGTTGCAGAGTTCACCCACAAAATGCACACAGTAACACGATATCCTGTCTCAAAGACATGATGTAGCACTATGTCAAATGCAAAGATTATTATTATTACTTTAAAAATAGACTGAGCTAATTTACCTTTGAGGCTTTCAACTCTGAATTGTTTCTAGCATGTCAATGTTTTACATTATTGACCAGTGATTGATTATATACCCCTTTTATCAAGATTCTGTTAAAACACGTGCACAATTATTAGTTTACGTTAATGTGTATTTTTGTTCTTGCAGGCTATTAAGCAAGTAAACGGTAAAGATGAAGTGGTGCCTGGTCTCTATGCCTGTGGTGAGGCTGCTAGTGCTTCTGTTCATGGGGCTAATCGACTTGGTGCAAACTCTCTTCTCGACTTGGTGGTGTTTGGTCGAGCCTGTGCTCTATCCATCACTGAAGCCTGCAAACCTGGTCAGTCCTGACAATTTGGCATATTTAATAACAAAATAAAACCTTTGTATAATAACCTAAAAGGGTTGTGCCTCTATCTTTCTCTCTTGTCTCTCTCTCTCTCTCTCTCTCTCTGCTTCTTTCTTTCTCTACCTCTCACTCTGCACTCTCTTCTCACTCTCTGAGTCTCTAATAACTTTTTCTTCCTCGTTCTGATCCAATCCTTACACTGTGTAAAAGTACTGTGTAACACTGATCTTTTGAGATTTACCTTCATGCTTAGGGCAAAATCCTATTCTGTAAATGTGCAAAGTCAAACCTGTGAGCATGAGGTTACTAAAGCGTGGGTCACACCTAAAGCGACTATGACACAACTTTGCACTTGTGCACAAATTAATTTTTGGCTGGTGGACATTTTATCTACCACTTGCATGTAGGCCAAATACATTATAATAATAATAATAATAATAATCCTTGCATTTGATATAACGCTTTTCACGTCGGGAGGACGTCCCAAAGCACTTCACAGAACACACTAAAGTGAATTGACTGCATATTTGTGGGCGAACGCGGCAGCCAATTGCGCACAGCAATGTCCCACAAACAGTCGTAGATTGAAAATGACCAATTTATTATTGTTTTTGGTTTTGGAGGGATTATTATTAGGCTCTGTGTGGAGTAAGAAAACTTGCCCAAGGTTTCGTCCATTGGAGGATAGGGCTGGATACAGCCTTCCAGGTAGCATGTACGATACGCCTGCTTCACACTGTAGTCCGTCACTCGTTTTACAAACAAATGGGATTGTCACGATCGGTTTATTCCATTAGTAGTGTATTGGGTTTAAAGGTGCATGTTGCACAAATCATTTAACACATTTGCCTGTTTAAATGGAGAGCATCGGAGTAGGTTGCTTGTTTAGATTGGATTGGATAATGATATTTTCATTACTGGTTTCTGTACCAATTTCAGCTATATCTGCTTTCTGAATAGTACTATTGACAACTGAATTATTGTAATCTTCTTGTTACTCTGATATTGGTAGGTGAGGCTATTCCACCAATCAATCCAAGTTCTGGAGAGGAATCGGTGGCTAACCTCGATAAATTGCGATTTGCTAATGGAAGTATTCGAACGTCAGAACTTAGAATGAATATGCAAAAGGTGAGGACATTGTTTTACATCTTCCTTAATTCATACTTAGTGCTCAGTGTGATTTTTAAGGCTAACATCAGCCCAAGATTCCCCTTCCTCCAGTGGTGGTTAGAGGACTTTGACCTCGTGCCACCACCTCCACAGAAATCTGTAACTGATCTGATGATTTACAAGCCAGCTCCCTTTTTCTTTTTTTTACAGTGAGGGAACACATTCCTGACCTTCAGCTAGGTCAGGAATATGGTGGTGGGCATCAGGTTAAATTGATAGACTATATGCAGCTCATCACATCCTGGCTCGACTACACAAACTCCATGCTTGTCGACTTCCCCAACTCCCTCCACAGGCTGCAGATCATCTAGAACTCTGCAGCCCTTGTCCTCTCCTGCACCAGGCTCCGCGACCCTATCACCTCCAGCCTCGCCCGGCTCCACTAGCTCCCATCACTTAGAGATCCTGGTCCTCACCCTCAAAGCCCCCATGTCCTTGCTCCTTCCTACCTCTGTGATCTCCTAACCCCCGACCAACCTGTCCGCTCCCTCCGCTCAGCGGACTCCGGCCTGCAACTTCTCAATTCTCCTGATGTTAAAGGCACTATACAAATGTAATTTGTTGTTATTGCAGTGTTTTTCAATGAATTCATGATTGTTACAGTATATTGTATTTTGTTAGTGATTACTTTTCCTATCCAGCCTCAATGGGTGAGAGTTTCTGTTTTTTAATCAAAAAATGTGTTTCTCTTGATTCTTGATTCAATTATTTGAACGAACCAATGACTACCTCCATCATACCCTCCCATCTCTTCCTTGCTTGGTATCCAACCCCATCATTGTAAAGCGCCCTGAGCCATTACCCGACATGAAGGGCGCTATATAACTTGTTGCATTTATATTGTCCGTGTCCCTCACCCTGCACGACCCACCATTGGTGATCAGGACTTCAGCTTTTCTGCCCCCACCCTCTAGAACTCCATCCTGGAATCCCTCCTTCTCCCCCCTCCCTCCTCCCTTGCCTCCTTCAAGGCCTATTGCAAGACATTCCTTTTTGACCATACCTTCAACCACCCTCCCACCCCCACTCTACCTTCCACCTCCCTTGATTCCAACCCCCAGCTCGGGTGCAAGCTCTTACCTGTCCAGTGCCTTGGGACGTTCTTCCGACGTGAAAGGCACCATATAAATGTAATTTTATTATTGTTGTGTCTCCCTCAAAATATAGTCAATTCACTTTACAGTATATTCTGTGCAGCACTTTGAGATATATCGATGTGATAAGGCGCTACATCAAGTGCAAGCATGATTATTATTAACTGTTGATAAACATCTTGCCTTTGCTTTAGTAAGAGTTTTAAAGATGGAGTGTGGTGTTAACAATATCATTCAATTGGAAAGTTATAACTGGAGATGGGAGCTCCTTTTAAACCTGTCTTTAATAGTGCATGCAGAGCCACGCAGCTGTATTCCGTACTGGTCCAGTGTTGAAGGAAGGATGTGAACAATTGAGCAGTCTGTACAATTCTTTGGATGATCTCAAGACATTTGACAGAGGTAAATTTATTTTTCCTTCACTTCTACATGTAATTGGAGATGTTTATATGTAAAGCATATAAACATATTTATATGTCTACACAAGGTGGTTTTAGACAACAATACCTTGGGCTACTTCGCTTACCACTAAGAGTTAGACCAAGTTCATTTACATTGTGAGCCTTCTTTTGCCACTTACTGTCAAACAGATCATCCTGCCCTCTGTGTTTAGGAAAAATTCTCACCGTTACGAGCTGAACATTAATCATTTTAAATTCCACCATCGCCCTTCACATGTTAGGTTACAGTTCAATAGGTGCCGACAGCCTTCTGGGACCAAAGTGGCCATTGTTCATCTGTGATTTAGGGAATGTCAGGAAACCTTTTAACCATACCAGGCATTGCAGCTGGCTTAAATCTTATCCTCAACACTAAAATGTTCATTGATTGTCAAAGATGCTGATATATGTATAAACTGTTGTAATTGTCATTCACTTCTTGTTGTGTGTTAGACCTTGCCAACACAAATGTCTGACTTATTTACTTCCAAATCGGTAACTACACTTGACAATAATTACATATGAAGCACTTTGATGTCTGAATGTGATTACGATCTATATTATCTGAGTTCTTTTAAGGTTGAAAACCCAACTAAAATGTATTGTTTGATTCAGGCATTGTGTGGAACACTGACCTGATAGAGACCTTGGAGCTGCAGAACTTGATGCTTTGTGCCATGCAGACTATCAATGGTGCTGAGGCTCGCAAAGAGAGCAGAGGAGCACATGCCAGGGAGGATTTCAAGGTTTGAGTTTGAATAATTTCTTTGCCAACACTTCAACAATAATAGAAAATATAATTGGAAGGGATAGAATTGAAGACACTCGTGTTTTGTGTGGTCAACCTGGTGTTTGATACATGTAGAAACCCATCACCATTCCTAAGAGTATCTAAACCACACTGAGCCTTCGGCATATGCATTGAAAATTTCCCATGTCTGGAATGGAGCATGCAATCTCTCTCTAAAGGGACACATTCTCCTTACCTAATCCCGGAAAGAAATTAGGTGTAGGATGGCGAGAGCCGAGGCTTTGGCACCCGAGGGTGTGAGCTGGCTAACCCCAGCAAGCTGAAATTGTGTAGTTTATAATTGTGAACACTATCTGACTACCTTCTTCCTGCTTGTACAGCTAGGATCACTCTACCCATTGGGACTTTGGGTAACTCATTTGAACAAAGTGTAGAAAGCTATAGTGTAGCAGGAAGGTTTTGCTAATGTAATAAGACCAGAATGTGAATTACATCAATGGTGTCATATGTTTGAAGGGTTAGGGTAAAGCAGTCGAGGCTCAGCTTGTAAAGAATTTAGGAACATTAAGCAGGCGTGTGTTCTGTGGACAATAGTTTACAATGTGGAGATATTTGCTGGATTTGTACCTGTAGACATTTGTATGAAAAGTGCGACACATTCTCTTGAATGAACTTCATCCATGTTTTCATTATAGACGAGGATAGATGAATTTGATTTTTCCAAACCCGTGAAGGGCCAAGTTGAAAAAACATTTAGTGAACACTGGAGAAAGCACACGCTCTCTACTATGGATCCTAAGACTGGAAAGGTAAGTGTTTCAGTTCAGCCTTTTCTCTCTCTCTCCCTCTCTTATCTGGTTTAGCTTTCTCACTTTCACTGACTTTTTTCCTCTTTTCCTGACTTTTTCTCTGATCTTTTGCTCTCTCTCTTTCTCTCCCTGCAACCCTACATTGAACCTGCAGTAGATTGCTAAATAAACTCATCACACGTTGCCAGTTCATTCACTGAATCAAGGTTCTGAGAATTTTGCATATATGCAGATAATTAACTTTTTTAAAAATGACTTTGTACTTTGACATTAGAGCCCCGATGCAGGTAAACAGGCTATAGTTGTCATGTGGGTACGTGGCATTCTGCTGTATTTGTGTTCCATCAATATTTTTAAAAGCATCAATCAGGAGTATGTTTTAAGCCGGTATATTTTCAGTATGCTTGAGTTGCAATATGAAGACATTGTATTAAATGTATTTAATTGAGCTAGGTCCTTATATTTATCCTCTTAGAACAAAATCAATATTCACCGGGCATTGGTTGAATTAGGAAGCGGATATGGAGTAGACCTCCAAGTTTTATGAATAACTTGTGTTTTGTTTGATTTTAGGTTACCCTTGGCTATAGACCTGTAATCGACACCACTTTGAATGAAGACTGCTCCTCCGTCCCCCCAGCAATTCGCTCTTACTAAATGTCATGAGACAAGTATATCAGTTACAGGCATAAAAATGTACATGGTTAAAGCAGCGACATGTTCGTATTTGGTTATAATAATAATAATATTCTGTCCTAATGAAAAATAAAACATTTGCAGTTCTACTACACATTTTAACTGTTTTAATTTAAAGTACTGTACATAATGGACAAACTATTCCATATTAAAGTGGGCAAACTTATCAAGAAACAGTTCTAGATATTTACATGAAATGGAGGTGAAAATGTGACTTTCACTAATTGGAAGTCGCTGTGCTAATTGTGACTCACTGGATTTAACTAAAATTGCACCTTTCAGTAAGACGTTCGCTTAAAATTTGAGTTCTTGAAGGCCAGCAAATCTTGTTTGAGGTCACTGCTTTGATTTCCGACCTTTTGTCACTTGAGAAAACAAAACATTAATGCGCTTTTCCAAGCAAAAGGTTTGCAAAAGCGCATTTCGAACCCAACTTGTTTTATTCCTTAAAAATGCTCCACTCGCTGCATGGGCTTTACTGATGCAATATTGCTGAATAATATAACTATGTTATAATTTCAAACTAAAGTAGAGGTTATAATCTTCTTATAGAACATACCTGCTGTCCTGTTGGTTTAATGTAATGGAATCATTATCAGTAACGACAAAACTCATAACTCTTCTAAATGTTTACCCAATTTCAGTTGAACTATGAATTAAGGAGATCAGACACAAATGAAAGGGAAGATGATTGATGATCTTTACAGAATGCTTTAAGTTCTCTTGCTTGATTGTAAAAAAGATGAATTTTCTTTGCTACTGGAGTACTAACTTAGAATGGCCCAAGTATGTGTTGGCTGTTGCAGGGATATTATCGTTCTTCAAGAAGGAATAATGGTCATGTGCCATATTCACTGTGTGTTACATTGCTCTAAAATGTATTTTCAAAACAAAGTATTGCTTTATTTGCAAAAATTATTTAAACTGATGTTTTTTTCTAATTTCACAATACTGTTCCAAATAAAGCAATGAATGAAGCATCCACATTGCTCTTCAAAGTCCTTAGAAGTCGTATTGTCATGTTTGTGAGGAAAAAGCATTTGACGTTCGACCTTACTACTGGTCATGTTGTTGTTGATGATGATGATGCTACTAATGGGGCACTTAAAAGTAAGAATTTGTGACAAGCATGCCAATACAGCCAGTTAGGTTACAACAATAACTTGCATTTATATAGCACCCTTCGTGTGGAGCAGCGTCTTGGAGCGCTTAACAGTGCCTGAGCAGGGGGCGGGAGGAGGTGACCATAAGCATGGTCGAAGAGGCAGGTTGTACAGGAGTACTGTGCAGTATAACTATTGCACAAATGGATTGCTGCTATGGATGTCCAGTCTGAGCCTTGTACAAGTACATTCTTTTGATATATCGATGTGTGGATTGTGAGACTCATAAAAGGATTTGTAAATGGCAAATCTATTACGGTCAAAGCTCAGCATCAATCTCTACCAACGTCCATCAGATCGACGCCTGAAAACTTTAGAGTGAACCTTGTACATCCAGAACCTCACAATTCAGATCTCAGTGTTCACCACTTGGATCTTAGATGATGGACAGGAAGGAAATAGGTACAATTTAAAATTCTAGTTTGAATAACCACAGCACCAGAATGACAAGGTCCTCTTGGTCTTCTAGTGCTGCTAAAAGTTCAAACTTTGAACCTGGCATTCCAGAAATAGAGCTGCACTGCTGTGCTCTCCTATGGATATGATTAAATAGCCAACCGGAAAACTGAGTCTTTCAAATTTATTGCTACTTATTCAATTTAACCTCTGGGGAAGCAGATGAAATAAAGTAGAGTATCTGCTTGGGAATAAGATTTCAGTTTATAGTGAAAGGAAACTAATGCCTCCATTCTTCATTTTCACATTCTTCCGTTCACAGTCCATCTGAATCCGGACGATTGGGAATTTCACAGCGACACTTTGTCTCTCCTCCTCTGCCAGCATTAAGATATCTCTTCTGATATTGTGCGATGTGTCCTCCTCATCTGGGTTTATAAACAATTTGCCAGCTGGTCGTGCAATGCAAAGCACTGCCACTGGGGGTACTGAAGTATAACATTTAGTGCGTGAAGAGAAATTGATGCATTTTGATAATTTTAAGTTATTGTTTAATCATAAATTGAATGTGTACGTAACCCAAACCTTGAATTCGCCTGCAAAATATACAGTCACTGCACTTCAACAGTGTACTGTATATCCTTTCGAGGCTCTTTGAGACATCCTCCTGGCATGAAAAGCACTATATCGAATGTAGGGATTATTATTAACCCTTTTTTGCATTTGTTTTGGTAATAAATGTGATCATCTTATTTACTGTTTTCCTCTTCACGTTTACTCATCATAATCATAATTATTATTATGATGAGTAAAAGTGAATAATAGTAATTATTATCATTTTGGGGATGAAATTCCTTTTGTAGTTTAGTTGCTAGTTTGATACAACAACTTGCATTTATATAGTGCCCCTTATGCAGGGTAGAGTCCCAGAGAGCTTTCATTGGAGGGATGGGGAGCAAGAAGTTAATTTGCGAGATTGGCAAATAGATTTGTAAATGGTGAATCAGTTGTGTCTCAGCCGACCCTCTGGAACTCTGCTCGCACACCAGGCCTCTGTTTCATTGTCTGTGAAGCCGGTGTCTGAGGGAGTTCAAAAGGTTGGCCCGAGTGATCCGGAGATAAATTAATTACAAATCTTTTAGCAAATCTTAGTGGGCACTTATACTGAGTCGACAGCAAGAGTAACTTCTCCCGCTTAATTCATACCTGTATAAGCTAGTCCCTATACAATTGGTTCTTTTCCGGTTTTAAACTTGGACATCAAAACTTCATGGAGGGAGCCTTTGATAATAATACTTGCATTTGATATAGCACCTTATCACATCTTAGAAACGTCTCAAAGCGCTTCACAGAATATACTGTAAAATTGACTGTATATTTTGTGGGTGAAAAGCAGCAGCCAATTGGGCACAGCAGTGTCCCACAAACAGTTGTGGATTGAGTGACCACATTTTTTTTAGGGGATTATTACCTCTGGAAAGTGATCTGTCAATCGCTTAACAACCGTTAGTTAACTTTTATACCTTTCTTACCAGCACTGAATGTCAGGGAGGAGGAGCTGGGTTAAAACTCTACTTGAGTGCTTAACAACTGAGATTTTGAATATACAGTCAAAATCAGGCAGCCTTTGATGTGGGGAATTCCTCAGCACAATGATTATGATAAGGCAAAGGGTGCAGGAATAATCCCACAATCTGGCTACAAAGGTTGCGCCTGAGGACTTCTCCATGCTGAAAGATCATGAGAATCGGCACTTGAATGCGGCTTAAGCAATAATAATACAGTAATATAATCTACCATTTGGTACAGCGCCTTATAACAATGTTGAGATGTGTCAAAGTGCTTCAAAAGAGTTTCCAGTAAAGTGAAATGACTATTTGCAGGAGAATGTCATGGTCAATTTGCACACAGCATTGTCCCACAAATAACTGTGAACTGATTCACCAAATTTTGTACAGGGGAGGGTTGTTGGCCAGGATAATGGGAGAAACTCCCTTCTCTCTTGCATAATGCCATGTGATCTTTCACGTCCACTTGATGAGCCAGATGGGGCTTCAGTTCCACATTTCATCTCCGACAATGCAACACTCTCCCAGCACTGAGAGCCTGTCAGCCTAGAGACTATGAGCTCAAAATCCTGACATTCTGACTCAGAGGTGAGAGTGCCACCAACAACAAGATTGCATTTATAGAGTGCCTTTCACGTCGGGAGGACATCCCAAGGCACTGGACAGTTGGGTCAGGACCCGAGCAGGGGGGAAATGGTCAGGGGGAGGGAAGGGAGGGAGTGAGGAGGGGGTAGAGAGGAGGTGAAGTCACGGTTGAAGAGAAAGGTCTTGAGATTGGCCTTGAAGGAGGAAAGGGAGGAAGCGGCGAAGGCACTGGGGGATAGAGTTCCAGAGCCTCGGGGCTGAGAGGCTGAAGGCCCGGCCACCGATGGTAGGGCGGTTGGGGCGGGGGATGTGGAGCAGACCGGAGCCAGAGGAACGGAGGGTACGGGCAGGTAGGTAGGGGGATAGTAGGTCGGAGAGGTAGGAGGGAGCAAGGCCGTGAATGGCCTTGTAGGTGAGGATGAGGATCTTGAATTTGATCCTCTGGGGGATGGGGAGCCAGTGGAGGTGAGCGAGGGTGGGAGTGATGTGGTCACGAAGCCTGGTGCGGGACAGGACACGAGCTGCCGAGCCAATCAGGAGAACCTCAGTTTTGCGCACGTTGAGCTGAAGAAAGTTGAACCAACTGAACCAGGCTGACGCAAAGTCCGATTGTGTGAGGCAATGCTCAAATCCTGCCGCCCAGTTTATTACTTTCCTAGAATTAATTTCCATCTATTGTCCAGAAACAAAGATGGTGATACAATACGTTTAAAACCCCCAAAAAGGCTGATACAACATGCTGTGGTCATGTGTGTGTCTGAGGGGATGGTGTGGTGTTCACTGACCAGTGATAGTTAAGGAACAGCTTTACATTTGCAGCTTTTGATTACATTGAACACATGAACCACCCAAACCCCAGATATCTCCCCTTGAAACATAGAAGGAGGCCATTCGACTGATGAGCCAATGCTGGTGCTGGCTCATCCACTGGAAATAACTATCGTAATCCCAATTCCTTGCAATTTCCTCACACCCTTCTACATTCCTCCTCTTGAAATGTTTATTCAGAGACTTGATTTGTATTGACACACTGCATGAGGAGCGAGCTAGGTTTGCAATGTGCCAGTGCACATTAAATCAAAGGCCTGCACAGCTTTTTGTGTACTTGCTGAAGCATAGCTTTCATTCCTTGACACCTGCCTCTTAATTCACCATTAAACGTTTATTAGATTAACTGTCATCATGATTTCCTTATAACCTTCCTGCGGTTTTGATACATTCTGGTAAACGTCAATAGTTGCCTCGCTCAGATACGCCAACTGTGCTGAATGTCATTCAAGTGTAACCCTGAGCTTTCCTCAGTGCTTTGTCTCCTGACTGCTAATAGCTGAAGAGACTGAAGGCCTGGCCGTCGATTGTGGACCAGGCTGGGAGGGTGACGTGGAGCAGGCTGGAGTCTGCTGAGCGGAGGGAGCGGAGAGGTTGATAAGGGGTGAGCAGGTCAAAGAGGTAGGAAGGAGCAAGTCCATGGAGAGTCTTGAAGGCGAGGACAGGGGTTTTGAACTCTATCCTCTGGGGGATAGGGGGCCAGTGGAGCCAGGCAAGGGGGGGGGGTGATGGGGTCACGGAGCCTGGTGAGGGAGAGGAAACGGGCTGCAGAGTTTTGAATGATCTACAGCTTGTGGAGGGAAGAGTTGGGAAAGCCGACAAGCAGGGAGTTAGCATAGTAACTCACAATCATACAGGTCCACAACCTTGCCCCACCCTATCTCTGTGGCATCAGAAACCCGACCTCCCTGGCCGCTCCCTTTATTCAGAGAACACTGGCCTGCTTTATGTCTCGTGCCCCATCTGCCCCACCATCAGTGGGCGAGCTTCCAGTGCTGATTGAACATTGCATTGTTGGAGGCACGATCCTTCAGATGCGATGTTAAATGTTAAAGGGTTTCTTGTTCACGTGAATGGCGACAAACATGGCAGTATTCAAAAAGAGAAGGGAGTTTCTCACAGTGTCCTGGCCAACAATCCCCTAATTAACATCAACAACAACTTGCATTCATATAGTGCTCTGACATAGAATAATGTCTCGTACTGTTTGCAGTGGACACCGAACAGTCCGTTTTCAGACTGAAGTCTTCCAATGTTGTTTTTGTTTCGTCATTCGAGTGCCTGACACATGTGGAAAGCCATCACTATGGAGAAGAACAAGCAGAGTTCCATGCATGCCACCTACACATGGGAATTCCAGTGTGTGGAGTGGAATGCGCACTCTCTCTGGAGGATTGCACTCTGCTTACCTAATGTAGGGGAGTATTACAACAACAACAACAAAATTACGTTTGGAAAGTGCCTTTCAAGTTGGGAGGACGTCCCAAGGCGCTGGATAATCAGTGTTTCGGACCCGAGCTGGGGATCGGGGAGGGTGGAGAGCGGGCGGGGGGAGGAGAATGATGAGGGGGGTCTTGATACAGGTATTGAAGGCAGCAAGGGAGGGGGCGAGGTGGAGGGATTGCGGGATGGAGTTCCAGTGGGTGGAAGCAGAGTGGCAGAAGGTCCGCCCGCCAATGGTGGGGCGGGCGAGGTGGGGGATCTGAAGCAGGCCGGAGTCCACTGAGCGGAGGGAGTGGGCAGTTTGGTAGGGGGTTAGGAGATCGCAGAGTTAAGGAGGAGCAAGGCCATAGAGGGCTTTGAAGGTGACGACCAGGATCTTGAACTATATCTGAGTGATGGGAAGCCAGTGGAGTTCGGCGAAGATGAGGGTGATAGGGTCATGGAACCTGGTGCAGGAGAGGACATGGGCTGCAGAGTTCTGGATGATCTGCAGCCTATGGAGGGAGGAGTTAAGGAAGCTGACATACAGGGAGTTTGCTTGGCACAGGTTGGCAAGAGCCAAGGCTTGGGAACGTCTTGGGTACTATAACCACACCACTTGCCATTAAGGGTATTGTCTGGCAAGCCTCTCGTTACTTGTTCTACCAATTAGGGCTTTGGCTTGTAGGTTTATATTATATACAAAGTTTTCCAATGTTATATTGTATACAGACTGTAATATTCCAGTGTTATGTACTGATTGTCATGTTCATCATTCCCAGGTGTTACTCTGAGTGGACGGCACCATATACAGTAAATGTCAGTCGTTATTATTGTTCTATTCTAATGTAATATAATGTACAGACTTCTGATCACTTGAAGATATGTTGTGGAATGTGACTCTTAAGGACGAAGAAAGTAAATTCTAAGTTTCTTATTGATATGATTTTAAAATGATTTTAAAGATGAAGGTACTGTTTTGTATTCCATTTGGTTGATTATGATTCCCTTCTGTAAGGCAGTGTCTGCTTGTAAACAAAGTATTTTGCCTGGAATGCTAAAGGCCACTAATAGGCAGGACAGCTCTGAGTTTTCAAATCCCTTCATGCCCTCACACCTCCCTACTTATCCGATTTGCTTCCCCCCTACTCCACCACCTTCTGCCTCCGCTTGGATGGCTCCGACCTCCTGTTCATCCTTCGTCCCCTCCTCTCCACCATTGGTGGCCGTGCTTTCAGCCACTACACCCAGAAGCTCTGGAACTCCCTGGCTCAATCCCTCCTCCTTGCCCCTTCCCACTTGCAAATCCCACCTAAAGACTTTCCTTTTTGATCGTGCTTATAGTCACCACCCCCTTTCTCTCCCCCTGGCTCACGGTGAGACTCCACCACTGTCAAGCACTCCGGGACACTACCCCGTGTGAACAGCGCTATACAAATGCAAGTTGTTGGTGGTGTTGAGTCAGCCTCTTGTGTGTATACAGCATTTCAGACTAAACCACAATGTGACATTTTCAGCAAAAATCAGAAAGCAATTACTAAAAGGAGACAGAATAAAAAGAAATGAAAAGGTATTTCCCAGTGGGTCTGATACATATGGAGTGTTAAAAAGAAAAATGTGTTACTAAGTACCTTATGATATTTTTCTGACATAAAACAAGTTTGGGTTTTAAAAAAAATCTGCTTTTTGCTATGCAATTGGTCGTGAGCTTGTGATGAATTCATTAGTTAAAGAAACAACATAACAAGCAGAGTGCTGTAAGAATGAAACAGTTGAATTTATTGGTGTGCGAAATCTCAGTTTATAATGCACAAGTCTCACTGCTGGTTGCAGTCTGAATAAGGCAAAACATTAAAATGGTTATTTCTCAAACTACAACCATAACACAGGCATGAGATTCCACACTGCTGGGAAAGTCTCAGTTAAGGCACAATCTATAGAAGCAAGAAAAAATTATTGATAGCTGCCCATTACCATGAAAACAAACCAGTCCCTAAATTATAGCATGCTAGTGTTGCCAACCAGTGTTCCTGTAGAGCCAGCCTGTCCTCAGTTAGTGAGCCCCAGCACAAGACAGATTCTTTATATACTGCAAAGGCTCTTTTAATCATTTGTGCTTATAAGGCTGAGGACTCTCATTTTTTCCACACACGGAACATCAGACCTTTTAAAAGGTTTGAAAGTTCCTCTTTCAGACGATTACAGCGGTTCCTTCACTGCACCTGTGAGGAACAGTGCAGTAACCAGAGTAATCACCGGAATGACTGCTGTGGCTCATGGCTGCTACTGTAATTCACTGTGCTGCTACAAACCTTGTAAGAGATATCTAAGAACAGAAATTGGCCATTCAGCCTATTTTATCTGATCTGTCAATTTAATAGATCATGGCAGGTCTTTAAATCCCAACATCCCACCTTTTCTCTGTTTCCCTTAGTGTCTTTAGTTCCCAAGTATCTGTGCACCCCTTTTTTAATTGTTCCAATTGATCTGAGCTCAATATAACCACTGCACAATACTTTTGACAAATCTGTCACCGAAAAGGTCGCTATACTTGGTCAACATAAATAGCGAGGTGGGTTCCTTATACACAGCTTGAAGTAGTCTCTCGTGGTCAACATCCGAACCCAACGCGATCCCACAGGTTACAATGTTATTTTTTCTCATGGCTTCTATAGCCTCGGGAAAGTTTTTATCACTGGTCACCCCGTCAGTCAGAAAGACAAAGGAGACTTCTGCATTCATGCGAGCGCCTCGAAACCTACCTTGACGGTTATTTACTAAACTTTCAACAGCATAAAGAATAGCACTTCCCAAATGTGAGGTGGACTCTAGATAGGAAGCCTGGAGCAGAGCATCTTCAATCTGTCTAATATTGTAGGAGAAATCCACAAGCAGGGTCTGCTGTGTCTCTCCCCCGTACTGAAGGATTGCTATTCTAGCTCCATAACTGTCATTATCTTTTTTGGCTAGCTTAAGCTCATGAGACACTCGGTTAATAAAGTGTAGAGAGTTCATAAAGTTTTCTCCTCCGGGCCGTTCAGAGCCATCAACAAAAAACACAATGTCTGTCGGGCGGTCGCTGAATGGTGCAATGGTCACAGCTGCAAAATACAAAGAACACATAGAATTACTCCACCCTCATGTGCTTCTTTCATTTACCATATGTGCAAAAACTATTGCCAGACCAGACTTATTGTTTCATGTTGGTTCAAATAGATTTACACAATTCCCAGCGCATTGTGTCTGAAAAGTGGAACAACTAGCATAACTCACAAGATTGCTTCAAACTAAAATGGCTCTATGGCCCGTTAGATCTCATCCTTCTAGAATATATCCACAAAATGTGAGTCAGCCTGGCTCAGTGGGAGCGCTCCAGAAGGTTGTGGGTTCATATCCCACGACGGGACTTGAAATCGCATAGTCTAAACTGATGCTCCAATGCACTGCCGGGGGGTTTACATTGTTGGAGATGCCGTTCTTTGGATGAGCTGTTAAACTGAGGTTCCATCTGCTTGTTCAGGTGGATGTGAAAGATCCCATGGCACTATTTGAAAAGAGAAGGGAGTTCCTCTCGGTGTTCTGGCCAGCAATCTCCCCAGATAAAATTGATCACTCGTTAAATATTGTGCCCTTATGTTTTTCATGTTCGTGCTAGAATGTGCATTGGCCTAATGTGGTTTGCCTGAGGGGTGGGATGGTGTACTATAATTTCCAAAAGCTGTGGTGTGCAAATAAAGATCTGAGAGCCAAATGGCCAGCTGTGAGGATGTGGTGTTTTTAACTTAGGTTGTTTTTTGATGTTTGGCAATGTCACAACTTAAACTCCACTTCAGTGCTTCGGAAGCAATATTCTGAATGACTTTCACAATCGAGCCCAAGGGAATGGCAATGAGGAAAATCATATTTGTCGGCTGGAGGGAAGAGCGAGGATTTCATCGTCCATTGCCAGACATGGCTAAAAGACACTAGTAAATAAATATTAAACACATAAAGTAATTTAAAGGCGATTTCTGGTGATACAGTGGAAGTTAAAGAAACGTCACTTCAAAAAGCAATGGGAGCAATCCAAATCTTAGAGCGAATCAGAATCAGGGTTAAACACCGAACAATTGCATGCTCTGTCCTTTCTGCCTTAGTCGTAATGAATACCAGGATCAAGTCTATCTATGAACAGGAGATCCCAGGCTCACCCGCTAGAGGATAGCTAAATACTGACTGATATTCAGGTCATGTGATGCACTTGTTTCACACTCAGTCCAAACTCCCCGCTTCAAGATGTTACCCCACGTGAGGGATGCTATGTAAATGCAAGTTGGTGTTGTGTCAGCAACATCGTATTATGGATCATTCCATGATAATGCTGACATAACAACAACAAGTTGTATTTATACGAAATGCAGAAATCCTGACTTGTAGAACAGTTCTACGAGTACCAGGGAGAAAAAGTAATCTTGAAGCATTTAACTTAACAAGATGTCTGGAACTCAGAAATGGAGTATGGGAAGCCCTTGTGCATTGGAGAGGGAAACAAAAATACTGCTTCTCTCACAACAGAAGAGCATGATAAACTGCTGTCCTTTCTTAAGCACCAAATCTATATGATCATGTGTCCTACCACTCCCTCCTTCCACATTCACCTTCCCTCCTAGTATTAAGTGTCAGTCTATTTCTGTTGGTAGGACTCTCACCTCCGAGTCAGAAGGTTGTAAAATCAAGCGTCAGGGCTTTGAGCTCACAATCTAGGCTTTAACTAACACTTCAAAGCAACGTTGGGGGGGAGTGACATTATCAGAGATCCTGTTTCCCAGTTTAGGTGGGTGTTGAAGATCCCATGACACTATTTGAAAAGAGAAGGAAGTTTCTCCTGGTGTCTTGGCCAACAATCGCCCAGATAAAAAAAAAATTGTCATTGACTTCATGGCAGTTTGTGAGACATTGATGTGAGCAAATTAGCTATCAATCTTTGCATTTGATATGGTGTTTCATCACAATGTCTCAGAGTGCTTCACAGGATACACAGTAAAGTGGTGTAACTGTATTTTGTAAGAAACCACAGCAGCCAATTTAGGCACAGCAATATCCCACAAACATCCATGGAGTAATTGAACAATTTTTGAAAAATTACTACATTATCCTACAAAAGATATGTCACTGCACTTCACAGTATATCCCGTGAAGCACTTTGAGATGTTCTCTCGACGTGAAAGGTACTATACCAATTGTATGTTTCTTTTGCCTCTTTAAGGAGCTGAGATAAAGTTGTACAGCATGATATGGCACACAAATAAACCATTCGGCCCAACTTGTCCATGCTGGTGTTTATACTCCGGAAGAGTCCCCACCCCTCCTTATTGCCTCTCCTACACTCCTTTATTTCCTTCTCTTAATTACTTTTCATTTTTTTTTAAAACACGTACACTTCATTGATTGTAGCATTTAAACTTGCAGCTGGAGAGGGTGGAAAGGATATAAAGCACCTGAAGGGAGAGAGAGCAGTGGCTAACAACCACTGGGATTAATACAGAGTGATGGATAATCTCCTGGGACTTTCACAATTACCTACCTGAGGCACATTTCAGGTCTGGACACACAAGCTCTGGGTCTGAAAATATTTAAAACAAAAATAGGTTATACACTCATTGGGCTGGTAAAGGTATTTCTACAGTGTTCAGTTTAAGTACTTTTATAATAATAATAATCCTTGCATTTGATACAGTGCCTTATCAAATCATTGAAACATCTCAATGCACTTTACAGAATATACTGCAAAGTGAATTGAGTGTACATTTCGTGGGCGAAATACGGCAGCCAATTGCACACAGCAGTGTTCCACAAACAGCCGTGGATTTAGTGACAAAATTATTATTACCCTGTATTTTCTTTTAAGGATTATGACCTCGGAAAAGGGATCCGACAATTGACTAACAACCAGGTTCCTACTGCTAGGTAAACAGAGCCATGTGGAGTAAGGAAATTTGCCTAAGTTTACGCCCTGTCTGGGAATCGAATCAAACCCAGGGCATTTTGTTTGCGAGGAGAGCGTGCTAATGAGCAAGTTACCTGAGCAGAGGTTCTGTTCCATCTCTTCCAAAAATTCCTCCGCCATTAAATCAGCATAAATGCTCAGATTCCTCACTCTGTCTTGAACATTGCAAGCTATTTTCTCCAAAGGCTCCTTCTCCGCATTGCTTTCAAACATGTCCCCAATGCCAAAGGCATACACATCCGCCCCTCTGCACAATGCGTCAAGGCTGTTCTGGTCTTTGGGATCATAACGTCCGTCTGTGATCACTACAACAGTCACCTGTGCGGCTGGTCGTCGCCCAGGTGTGATGAGCCTTTCATACGTGTACTTTAGAGCTGAGGATGTCCAGGTGCCCCCAGCGATCCATTCCATCTCCCTCACTTTAGATTTAAAGGTGGACACTGAAGTGATGCTTGGATCATCCAGCTTGATGGCCTGGATGGCTCCTTCATGGCTGTACTGCACAACTCCAAGGCGCGAACCTGAAATAGAAAGGATCACTGCTATCAAACTCATCTCCCGGTCCCAAGCCCATCTAAGCCTCTCCTCTGAGAGGATCAAAAGCAGTCCAGTAAACTTTGGCCCCATCTCCCAACTGAATGATATAATGGCCACATCATGACCAGACCACATTGTAAGTGACCAGATTCATACCATGTTTACATGCAGAATGCTCATTTAAAGCTCATTGTAGTCACCAGCAAAAGTGCCATTGACTTAAATTTAGTTAATTAATGTGAATCCCAAGTTCATCATTGAGTTTAAAAAAATAGAAGTTTTCTGCACAAAAGAATGCGAGACTCTGGCTCCAAGGAGACCTCAGGTCACAGCACAGGTCATGCCAGTCAATGGTTTCACAGGGCTTTCCCTGCAGAGAACACAGTGTATGTCACGAGGGACTGTTCCTGTTCCGAGGTGTCAGGATCATTATCAAAGATCTGAACCTTTTTCAACCCCAATGTGTAATATTAGAAATCCCACTGTTATAGCATTGTATCAGGTTACCTGATAACTCGCTGCTATTTTTTGCCATTTTCCCAAGCCTGCTGGCAATATTTATGACGAAATTCTTTGCCAGGCTAAAGTTAGTTTGACCAATGCTCTCTGAGCTGTCTATGACAAACACAAGGTCAATGGGTGGGCAAGTCTTCTGACAGTCTGAAACAGAAAGGAAATAGTAACTTAACTAATGAATTACAGATACATGACACAAAGGACTACACTAAAATATATATTGTACTACTGTACTAATGATTTTTGCGGGGATCAGCCAGGTGTCTGACACATTCCAAAACCCTTCAGCGTGCTTATGTATCCAAACCTGACTGACTGTATTTGCTGACTAGTTTTGTCATGTTGATTATTTGTATACAGTCAAGTATTATTTATATGTATGTAAATCCAAATGGCAATACAATTCTTACAGGTCAAAAACTTTGTTAAAAACTTACCACAGCAGCCACATGTTTCTCTTGTGTAGCTCAATATATCACATTCCTGTTGTAAGCAATTGGAAGAGACAATGTTAAACAGTGAAGTTCACATTTGGCTGCACTCAATTTGAGGTCATTTCTTACTGATTTTTCCATTAAATGTGATAATAGAGAACAAACAATGACCAACAGTCTGTTACAAAGCTACAGGGCATTTAAGAAATGATAATGCCATTAAACTATGAGAGTTCGACTCAAGAGTTCTGTCAGGTCAGTCCAACATGATTTTGTCCCTGCCTCGAGTAAAGAATCGGCTGTCTTGCTTCAATCTTACTATTAGAGCTTAAAACCACCTTTAGCTTATTAATGGGAACCATATTTGTGCTACCCTTCACCAGGACACACCGGGACAGACTCTTTACCACCACTGAGATACACTCCTTATTACTGTTGGCTCATAATCTTACTCTGGGTTATCAGGAGTCGACAAAAGCGTGTGGAAAGTTGGGGATGCGAGATACATCAACTACTCCTGGAACACATTGTATATATATTTCTGAGATCATGACCCAGAATTTAATTCTTATTAATTCTTGGGATGCTTAGAAGTAAACTTTGGGTCAATGTCTCAGAATATATACTGTATGCACAACAGCCATGAAATGAACACATTATTTAGCAGGCTACATTTGTTGCTTGTTGAAGGCCCATCGTTTGAAATTAACCCTCACTTCACTGGTTCAACTGTACAAGGCATAAGCAGTGCAAAGGACAATCCTTGGCCACTGGCATCATGAACAGGGAGTACCACTCACTGTTATTCCAGGAGAACCACGACTTCCAGTCGGACCCTGTAAACAACAGTTAGATTTATTTGATGACAATTGTCAGAAACATTCTTCTGCAAATGCAAATAACTGGGCTAGGAGCAATGGCAACTGTAACTTTGTGAAAAAAAAGAACGAAACTCATCAAACTACCACATTCAATTAACTTTCTATCAGACAGCAGTACCACCCTCCATCACAGTATCAATGGAATGAAGCTGAGAAGAAACTACTTTACAAACAATGTTAAATTGCTGTTCACTTGTGCAATTGTTGATGGGTTTTGTAAAGGGAAGACAGTGATCAGTCTGGATGAAATAGAGTTGAAAGCAGAGTTTCAAACACTGGACTGTGAGAAATGCCCAAATTGAACTGATGGTGCGCAGGGGTCATCAGATAGTAGTACATGCGTCCATGCATTCCAGAATTTTGAGATTTCATAAATGCAGTCTTTAGAAATCCAGATTTGGAAACCAATTTTCCAAAGGACCCACTTTCCCCTTCAAAGTGCAATCACAGTATGTGAAAGGCATTATATCAAACGTAAGGATTTATTGCGTCTTTATTTTCAAATTAGGACTAAAATCGAAGAAATTTCCCAAATCCTTCACAATGTTAAATTTTAAAACAAAATGGTTTTGAGATTAAGACCATGATGAATTTCAGTCCTCTATTGCATTGGATATAATACTAATCACCGTGTCAGTGTGGACATTCTAATATTTAAATTCATAGAACAGAGAACAACTAAATGTTCCAATAACTTTTAAAAACAAACATTGGTTCAGATATCAAAATAATAACAACAATGTTTGGTCACTCGATCCATGACTAGTTGTGGACACATTGTGGACAACTGACTGCCATGTTTTGCCCCCACAAAATATAAAGTCAATTCACTTTACAGTATATTCTGTGAAGCACTTTGAGACGTCTCAACGATGTTATAAGGCGTTATATTAAATGCAAGGATTATTATTATTATTATATAAGCATTGAATAAATGTGCACAGATATACACAGAAATACACAGCATCCACTAAATAAAATTGCTGCTGTGCACTTTTTTTTTTACTTTTAGACTCAACAATAGTGGAGTTCCTCGGGGGTTTGAGACAACAGGGCCCTCCTTGTCTAACTGTGCTTTCCCACATGGCATCACAGTGATTCTGCCTACCTACCATTGAGCCTTTCTGCCCTTTCACTCCTCGCTCTCCTGGTTGGCCATCCAGCCCGGGATCTCCCTGAAATGGTGAAAAGAAGCAGTTAGTTTACAGATGCACAGTAAAGCACGGTTGTTCAACAACAACAACTTGCATTTATGTAGCGGCCCTCACGCAGGGTAGCATCCCAGAGCGCTTGACAGTAGCGGAGCACGAAGTCGAGCCAGGGAGAGGGGACAGTGACTGTAGGTACGGTCGAATAGGAAGGTCTTCAGGCGCAACCTGAAGATGGGTCAAAGTGGAGGGATAGAGGAAGAACGTTCCAGGGTTTCGAGGTATAGTGGCTGAAAGTATGGCCACCGATGGTGGAACGGAGGACACAAGGGACATGTGGAAAGCAGCGGGTTGTGGATTAAGCAGGTGGGAGAAGTAGAGAGTTGCCAGGGCATGAAGGGATTTGAAAATGAGTGTGAAGATCTTGAAATCGATCCATTAGGGAGCTTGACTAGAACTGGTGGGATGGGGGTGCGGAGTTTAGTACCAGTGAGTATGTTCGTGAGATATAGGTTAATAAATGACAAACTGTCATGAAATACTAGTTAATAAATGACTGATTATTAAGGTATGTTAATTTTTGGGGGGTCAGCTGGGCATTTGACATAGGTGAAAACCCATTATTTCTACTTCTACTGACCAATCTGCCTCTTCCAAGTCCTACTTGAAATGCATTACAAATGATTCTAGAATACTTTATAACATGAGAATGCACTATGGTTAACCCATGGGTTATTAGATAATATTGTACAATATTGATCAATCCTGCGGGCCCTGTACTTACACTTTCTCCTTTCATTCCTTGAGCACCTTCTGCTCCTTTTTGTCCATAATATCCCTGGGGTCCCTGTAGAACAAGATGTGAATAGTAAATTGGGAAATTTGTGCACAAGGAATATTTCACTCACTTCAGCAACCCAGCACTCCTACACTAAATTAATTTTGTACAAAAAATTTGTCTGAGTGTCACATCAAGTAAATCTCAAACAGCTCTGTACCTAGAAATTTTTTATTGGCTGAACCTTAAGACTCATAGCTTGCCATTGAAAGATCGTCTGGTAAGCTTCCCATTGCTTATCCAGCTGGGCCCACCCTATTTCTTAGGGCTTTCATTTGCAGGGTTAAATATGAGTTGAGCGGGAAGAATCCCTGCTCCCCATGACTGGTGTGTGTGTCCCCAAGTCCTGTCAATGGGCAAGACTGGCTTCTGTAGATTTGTCTTGTTTTGCCCCAGGTAAAGGGCACTATATAAATGTATGTTGCTGTTGTTTTTCTGCTCCTCGTTTCTAGCTGGACTCTGTACTCCGTGGCCTTCACCTAGGTTCTAAATCAAAACCATCTAAAGTTGCTCTAATAAAAGGAAATTAACATTGTGTAATTGCAAACCTCTGTTAATGTAGCAATCTCTGCTATCCTGAATATTGTGCTGTGAAGAATCTGAGATGGAACCGTGACTTCTTACCTGAGGGCCCTGTAATCCTGAGTCACCTTGTTCACCCTAATATGAAAGAGAACCAGTCATGAATGCAGCAAAGACAAAACATATTGAATAACATATTTTCTGTTGACACAGCAGTTATTGTACACACAGCTTTCTATAGTGTATGTGTGTGTAAAAACATAGGAAAAGCAAAGGATGCAAAGGTCATTTAATCCACTGAAGCTCATCTATCCTGTACCCTTTCTTACACAATATAGCAGCTTCACCTGGATGTCTCAAATATCTACCACCCTGTCTGGCAGATTCTTCCAAATATTTATCAGTTATGGCTCAATGGTGACGGCCCAGTATAGGGTATTGGGTCAGAATCTCCTCTAAATAGGTCCAGTGCTCAAGCCTGGTTGAATTCTTCTTCACTAAACTTATTTTTAGAAAAAAAAATCTGGTACACAGTATTGGACACTATTCAGTTAAATCCCAGCAACCTCACGCAATTGGGTGCAAGTAGATTCTAGTTGCCCTTATCTTATAAATTGATCACAAACACATTTGTCCCTCCCATATCTCAGCATTCCAAAGGGACCGCTTCCTCCATAACTCCCTGGTCCACTCCTCCATCACCACTAACACTTGCTCTCCCTCCCCCGGCACCTTCCGACGCCAGCACAGAAGATGAAACATCTGCCCATTCACCTCCTCCCATACCACTGTCCAGGGTCCCAAACATTGCTTCCAGGTGAGACAGCGATTTACATGGACTTCCACCAACCTAGTACACAGTATGCTCTGCTCATGTTGTGGTCTCCTCTACATTGGGGGAGACCAAACACAGATTAGGTGATCGCTTTGCCGAACACCTCCATTCGGTCTGCAATTGCAACCCTGAGCTTCTGGTTGCTTGCCACTTTAATTCTCCTTCCCATTCCAACCTCACTGTCCATGGCTTCCAACGCTATTCCAAAGAAGCACATCGCAAGCTCGAGGAACTGCACATCATCTATCTCTTAAGCACCTTACAGCCCTCTGGCCTCAACATTAATTTTAACCACTTAAGACCTTAACCACAGCTCCCATCTTCTCTCAGTTTTGCTTCCTCCCTCTCCTATAACCATTGACACATCCTCTGGGTTGCAGACACATCTTTTCTTTCTATAATCTCACACTATTTCCTTCTTTTGTCTTGCACCATCAACACCTCTGATCTCATCATCTCCTGTCCTCCACCTATTTTTTTCCTTTGTTTTCTTTCCCCACCCACTTTGTTTGTCCTTATAAACTGTTCCCTTCCAACATCCTCAGTTCTGACAAAAGGTCATCGACCTGAAATGTTAATTCACTTTCCTCTCTCCATAGATGCTGCCTGACCTACTGAGTGTTCCCAGCAACTTCTGTTTTCATATCTTATAGGTTGAGTTCACTTCTGTATCAGATAAATGGACAGATATGTAGTGTTCTTCTGGACAGCAGAAATGTCTGACTCACTTGGGGTCCTCTGGGTCCAATGTAGCTGTATCCATCCTTTCCTTTGTCTCCCTGTCAAAGTGGAAACAAATGTAAAGTCAGTCAAGTCAGACAACCAGTCTCACTGGACCCTCCAAACCTTACACTACTGATAAGCAGTAAGAAAACATGTAACTCCCGTCCAATTTGTGATATAAACAAAGACTGTGATTTATGATAGGGCATCTTAAATCTCCAGTGGACTCCATTTCCTTTCATGGACATGCACCAGAGTGACAGGAAAACCAGAAAGCCATCCAGAAACAAAAGTCATATTGAATTTGTGCACAGCTCGAAGCCTCTGTCAACCCACAGTCAGTAAACAAAACTATCGTCAAATATTCCACACTTAATTTTTGCTTTCGATATAGTTTTTACAATGGTGAATTACCTCAAAGGGTTTCATTAGTTATTGCTGCTGTACTCACTGTGTATTTGTAGCTAAACACAGTAGCAAATTAGCATATGGAAAGATCTCACAAACAGCCATAACACGAATGAACAATTAATCTACAGAATTGTTGGCCAGGACTCTGGGAGAAACTCCCTTTTCTTTTCGAATATTGCCAAGGGATCTTTTACATCCACCCAAACAGGCAGATAGCACGTCAGTTTAAAGTTTCATCTGAAGGACAGCACCTCCAATAACGCAGCACGTCCCCAGCACCGCACTGGAGCCTCAGCCTCAACTAGGAATTCAAGTGCTGATATGGGACTTAAACCCACAATCCTCTGAACTAAAGCAACGTGATACCAACTGAATAAGGCTGAGAAGATGTGGGCAATGTCATTGTGAATGTAACATTTTGACACTATATATTTACATATGTTAAAACCCTCTCACATTACATCAACTTTACCTTTGCACCTTGCAAGCCAATATCTCCTTGTGGTCCAAAATCTCCAGGTTCACCTATGCTTCCCTAAATGACAGAAGTGCAGCATTAACATAGTGGTCCTCTTTTCAATTTGTACAATGTGTTAAAGTATCAGCACATGTCTGTACAATACTAGTATTAGTGTAGTCAGTTAGACTGTTTTCAAAATTATTTGAATATTTGGAAACTATTGAGAAGATCACTGGAGTGACTGATGGTCCTTTGCTTCTTCACGGCATTCCCATTCTATTAAGTCGATTATCCCATCAAGAGGAACTGAAACGCCGCTTTTCGCAATCAGCAACCACGCTCGTCTTTTGGGTTAAACATTTTTTTCGTTTCTAATCGATCTCATTCCCTAAAGCGTTCTCAGATACTTCTCTGATGTGAAAGTTGCTAACTAAATGTAAGTTGCTGTTATACAAAGGCTATCCCTTCATGTTCTGGCATCTCCCTATCTCTGTGCTTTTCTGCTTGACAAACTCAGACCTGCTGCGCGATCCTCATTTCCTCTACCCCTCCATCAACAACAGCAACAAATTACATTTATATAGTGGCTTTCACGTCGAAAGGACGTTCCAAGTCACTGGACAGTTAAGGGTTTGCACCTGAGCTGGGTGTTGGAATCAAGAGAGGTAGATGATAGGGGGTGTGGGGATGGGGGTCGAAAGGTGGCTGAAGGTATGGTCAAAGAGGAAAGTCTTGAGACAGGCCTTGAAGGAGGCAAGGGAGGGGGCAAGGTGGAGGGATTCCGCAGTGGAATTCCAGAGGGTGGGGGCAGAAATGCTGAAGGCCCGACCAACAACGGTGGAGCAAGCAGGGCAAGGGACCAAGCTTCAGCAACTACACCCCTAACCACTGGAATTCCCTCTCTCTAATTCTCCATCTCCCCCACCCCACCATTTGTCTTTAAATCCAGCCTAAATACCTTCCACTTTGACCATGCTTGCCGTCACCTCTCCCCCTCCCTTCATCGGCGCCTGACACTGTAATTGTGAAGCCCTCCGAGACATCAGCCTACGTGAAAGGCACCACATCAATATAAGCTGTTACTTGTTGTTGTATCCCATTGTAGCCACATAACAAAACAATTGCTAGAGTTAGTGATCAGCATGTGATAGACCACATTCAGTTGTCCTCTCCACCGTGAAACTAAACCCTTCACCTTGTCCCCTCCCTTACCTCCGTCACGGCGTGTCTCAAGACTTTCCGCTTTGACCAAGTCTTTGCTCACTCTCCTACCCCCACACTCCCTGCCCTCCTCCCCTCCTGATCCCAAGTGCTCCGTGACTCTGGCCCGCGTGAAGAGCGCTACACCAATGCAAGTCGTTGTTGTTGTAAAACTAATAAAGCAGTGGAATAAAAAAGGCTCAGTTCCAATGTTACTCATGGACTGATCTGCCAGGCTGCACTTACCCGTTCACCCACTCCTCCAGGTTCTCCAGCAGGGCCCCGTCGCCCGGGAAATCCTGGTGCCCCCTGAAATGTATCAGAAATCTGTTACATTCTTAGAGTTACAGATCTAGCTCTTGATACAGATCTAGATTTCAATTGAATGCATTAAAAAAAATGACAGAGCAAGTGTCACTTACAGGCTCGCCTGGTTCACCTTTAACTCCAGCTACGTTTCGTGGACCTTCAGGACCCAAGTCTCCCTGGAAGAAACGAAACCCATTTCACTCCCAAAAATAAACAATGCAGATTGCGGTGCCCAGTAAAATACGTTGGATCCACCATGTGGCAATGTGCTCACACTGATGGGCAAGAAGCAACTTACTTTGTTCCCACAATTCTGTCCCCCATTTGAAATTCCATCCCCGATCCCCTTTACCTCGCTCCCTCCGTTGCCTCTTTCAAGGCGCGTCTCAAAACCCTCCTCTTCAACCGTGCCTTCAGCCACCTTCCCACCCTCCCTGCCTCCACCCTCCCCTGACAATCCAGTGCCTTGGGATGTCCTCCCGATGTGAAAGGCACTATACAAATGCAATTTTGTATGTTAAGAAACAGTGTGGATTGGTTTGCTTGATTTACATTTCCCACTTAGCATCCTGTTGAATCGTAGCTGGATACCTTTGGGGAGAAATTTCCCCAGGTCCAGATTTATTCTATTTACGTAACTTTAAAGTGTACAGAATTTGGCAAATGCTTAAAGGCAGTCTTAATTTTGAAGCCAGTTTTTTGCAGTTCTTATGAGAACTGAAAGGGTGATGGAAGCAGATTCAATAATAACTTTCAAAAGGGAATTGGATGGATACCTGAAAAGCAAAAACTTGCAAGACATGGGGAAAGAGCGGGGGAGTGGGACTAATTGGATAGTTCTTTCAAAGAGCTGACACAGGCTCGATGGGCCAATTGGCCTCCTTCTGGTCTGTAAAATTCTCTGATTCTATCTCACAACCTAAATTGAGGCTGTGTTTTCAGAATTTACGAAATTCTGGACTCTGTAAAATGTCACATAAATAGAATAAACGTAAACCCAGATGGAAGTTCTCCCCATCTATCTTAAAACAGTTTTACGAGTTGAATGTGGCTCACTTACAGAACGCACCATGCAATATTAATGATTGGATTAATGATTGGATTGAAAAGAAACCAATACTGTTGATGACTGGACCTTTATTTTAGTACTGCCTGATAATCTTTTTTTAAGTAAATTTATTTTCAATGAATATCCATATCCAGAGTGAGTAGGCTTGAAAATATTTGTCAATAATAAGAATCCTTATGTTTGATATAGTGCCTTTCATGTCAGAAGGATGTCCCAAAGCAGTTCACAGGAAATAGTGTAAACTGCATTGTATGTGTTCTGTGGGAGAACACAACAGCCAATTTGGGCACAGCAAAAATTGGGCCCAATTTGTCCAAAAAGTTTTTTTTTTATAATTAAAAAAGGGAAACCTGCCATTTGATGTAACTGTAAGCTATATAACTCAGGTTCACCTTTCTCTTTGTATTCTAGTGTTTTTGTTAATGTTGTTGCGTATTAGCTATCTGCTAATCCTAAAGTGTTGCTGTATGTGGATCTGTAGTGAGGTCTTAATAAATGCAGGGGAGTAGAAATTCCATCTGGGTCTAGATTTACACCGTTTACTTACTTCAGAGTAGTTTGCCAGAACTTGACAAATTGCTGAATTCAGTTTTAACCTTGAAGCCAACTTAATATTTCAAAATGAAATACTGTATTTAGGAATTTGACATATTCTGAACTCTCTGAGATGCTACATTAATAGACTAAATCTAAGCCCAGATGGAACTACTACCTTTTTCCTATTGCACCCACTGATCCCTGCAATACTCTTCTTTTTCCTTTATCCAAGCAGATTGATCTGTGCAAGATTCCTCTCTGTCTGCCATGTTTCTGCTGTTAGAACCATACCTTTTCTCCTTTGCGTCCTTGTGTACCCCGGCTCCCAGCTCTCCCACTCTCACCTCTTGGACCCTATCAAGCAATGTAACAGTTTAGCAAAATGCTGAAAACACAAAACATTGAATTAAAACCAAACAAGAAGTTGGAAGAGATAGACTTACCGGATCACCATCAGTACCAGCTTGTCCAGGGCCCCCCTAGGTTGAACATTAATAAAACGTTTGATAAGATTGTTCTTGGCTTGAAGTGATTCATCAGAACTTTTTATTTAATTTTAACAATCGTGTTGCCATCGTTACCTTCACTCCTTTCGGTCCTGGAAGACCTGGATTGCCTCTGTATCCAATGGCCCCCTGCGGTTATCAAACAATATAAAAGTGGTGTTCAAATATTCATTGAAGAAAGACTGGCAAACATTAAAAGCATTGCATTTCCATTCAGAACTCCAGGAACCAGTGGAATGTAATGTACCTTTTGACCTTGCTCTCCCTTGGTGCCCGTGGGACCGGATCGACCTTGCTGCCCTGCGGAGCCCTGAAAATATACAACATGGGGCAGTCACCCGTGTCAGTCAGTCAAGGTAACATTCGTTATTTACTGTGCTGTCTCAATAGTGGCTTAGATGTCAACTGCTACAGTTTCTGGTATCTTCTCATAGAGAAGCTTCTAATCTTGAAGACAGCTGAATAAGTTCTGTACAGTGAGGTTCATGCACACTTACCTTACTGGGGTTTCACAAGCAGCATCACCATGTAGTGAAGGGGATCTTGCTATATTCAAGAGGACTCAGCGTCACATTAAGACGTGATGTGAGAATATGCAAATAGAGCATCTGCGGTGACTTAACCTGTAGACTCACAGAGATTCTGTGCTCTCTGAGATGGACACTGCTTGAAACACGCTCTGATGCCGCAAAATCCAGTGTATCATCATAATCCTTGCATTTGATATAGTGCCTATCAAATCAAGTCGAAACGCTTCAAAACACTGTATACTTTAATCACTGTGAAGTGTGTTGACTATGTAGGCAAATGTGGCAGCTAGTTGGTGCACAGCAAGATCCCATAAAATATCACGATCAATTCATCTGGAAGATTATTGGCCAGACCACTAGAAGAAACTCCCTTCTCTTTTTGAACCATGTCATGGAAGCTTTAACAGCCACTTGAGCAGGAAGACGGCACCTCAGTTTAGCATCTCGTCGGAAGGATGGCACCTCTGACAATACAGCGCTCCCCCAGTATTTCACTGGAGTGTCAGCCTCGACCGTGAACTCAACTCCCAGTGTTGGGCGTGAACCCACAACCTTCTGACTCAGAGCCAGAGGACTTCCAGCTGAGCGAGGTTCACAAAAAAAAGTTTGCTTATCAGCTAAGTATTGATATTCACTGTGAGACACTAATGTATGCATTACTCACCTTTTCTCCTGCATCCCCTCTTTCCCCTTTTTCACCAGAATCACCAATAGGACCCATCAGTCCCTGTAACATTCACAATAAGAGACACCCTAATACACCGGATGACATGGGAACGCAACAATCCCAATAGGGCAAGAATCAAAATACAACAGCTTCATTCCCACTCTACACAGCTTATGAGGCACCTCCTTAAGATTCAAACATTTTCATTAAGATTATCATTATCTTAATTTTTAAGACACCTTGTCTTAAAATTTAACATGGCACAGAATAGCAGGGTATTGGGAATTGATTTGGAAGCCAATTCTTTTCAAAAAAGGAGGAAAGTTGGCTTTAAAGTTATAATAGAAATGAACAATTTGCCATAATTTTTCATGACGTTAAATTGAACACAAAATGGCCTTACAAGCTAAGACTAGATGAAATTTCAAACCTTCTTTAAGCTTCTGCAATAATGTATAAGATGATGTCTTTACTAGCGTGTAGATGTTTGCATCTTTGCATCTTTGCATGTTTTACTGAAGTCCTGAGAACACGCAGCCTTGAAGCTGATGGGCTGTTTTAAATTGCACTTTCAGTAAAGTCATTATTGTTTCTGTTATTCAGCACTTCATTAAGCCATATACTGCTTAAGCAGTTCAATTCAATCCCAGAATAAAGTGATTAAGATTGTTCCAGTTATAGTGGGGTTGAAAGAACGTTCATTGGGAAAACAATGGCATAAATGAATCTCCTTCTGGAAAAACACAGAGAAGGTGAGATTCACTTTAAGTCCTGAGGAGCTTTTACCAGTCTGAGGTCCCATTTACATTGTTGCTTTCCTGAGCAATGATCTTTGAACCTCAACATATTTTTTGGTGAATAATGCAACAACAACATGTTTCTTGCTTTTTTTAAGGTGAAAACAACAAAAAAAAACAGTCCGCAAACATAACGCTGAGCTGTTGTGTAATGGAGCTCTCCATTGCAAAGCTATTAAAAAGCACAAATGAAGGTATTGGACTTACCGGTAAACCAGGCTCCCCTTTGCAGCCAGGATCTCCTATGTGGCCACGCTTTCCCTAGGACAACATGATTCAGGCAATTCAGTAGCATTCTTTTGCTATGTCTTACAATCAACCATGCTGTAATCTTTAAAGCTACAACAATGTAAAGTGAGGCTTTTGTTACCTTAACTCCATGAATTCCATTAAATCCATGATCTCCAACTTGCCCCTTTAAAGGAAAAAATAAATGGTATATTAAATATTTATAAAGTAGCATCTCAATGAATAATAATACTAATAATCCTTGCATTTGATATAGCGCCTTATCACATCCTCGAGACGTCTCAAAGAGCTTCGCAACAATTCGCTATTGTAAAGTGATTTGGTTGTATATTCTGTGGGCGAGGTGCGGCAGCCAATTGCGCACAGGAGAGTCCCATAAACACTTAGATTGAGTGACCAAATTATTATTGTTATTATTTTATTTGAAGGGATTATTTTTGCTGGGAAAGCAATTTGCCAATCGACTACCAACCGGGTTCCTACTTACTGCTAATTAGACAGAGGCATGTGGAGTAAAGAAAGTTGGCTAAGATTTCACCCTGCCCAGGAATTGAACCCTGGTCCTCTTGCTTGCGAGGCGAATGCTCTAACCAATATGCTACAGGATTCCATGAATAATGTAATTTGGGGGATTGTTGGCCAGTACAATGGGGGAATCTGACTTCTCCTGTTGATATGTGCAGTGGGATATATAACAGCTACGTGAACAGCTACAGATGGGACCTTTGTTTAACACCTCATCCAAGTGCACTGCATTGGAGTGTCAACATGGACTTCAAGCTCAAAATCCCAGCATGAGATTAACTAAATATTTACACGCAGTTTGCGCTATTGCGCTAAAGCACTGGAAGTTATAGAATAATCATAATTCTTGCATTTGGTATAGCACGTTTCACGTCAGGAAGACATCTCAAAGCGCTTCACAAGATTTACTGTAAAGTGCAGTGACTGTGTATTTGTAGGTGAACGTGGCACTCAATTGCGAAGAGCAATGTCCCACAAAGAACTATGAAAAACAATTGAGCAATTTTACTTGAGGGATTGTTGATCAGGACCCGGGGAGAAACTCCCTTCTATCTCATTGTCAAGTCGTCTCAACGTGCTTCAAGGATTTTACTGTGAAGTGCGGGGACTATTTATTTGAAGTTTCAGAAAACTCCTTGTTCGTGTAAAGAGTCTGGATATCTTAAAGCTAATATATTAGCAATTAACCTAGCAACTACCCAATTTGCGAATACCGCATTTTATGCTCTAATAATTTCTGAGTGTCTGCCACACTGTACATTAATGTGCTCACTGTGATAGTAACATGGACTCAAACACTATGCATTCCCCCATCTTCATTTCTGAAACTGAATACAATCCACACAATGAATATTGATGGTTAGAAATTATCATCTGTTTAACTTCAAGTTAAATGAATGCACAAGTGCACAATAGGAGCACAAGTTAGCAGTGTTAGGAACAACAAATAACGACAAATTATATTTGTATAGCGCCTTTCATGTCAGGAGGACATCCCAAAGCAACAATAACCATTTGCATTAATATAATGCACTTCACCTAGGATAGTATCTCAGGAGGGGTGGGGGCTGTAAAGTGGTAGGGTTGTATGCCGAGCAAGGGGAAGGGGGAGGTGACTAAAAGCATAATCGAAAGGGTAAATCTGTGATATAAAGATAGATAAAGAGGGGACAAGGCAGAGGGATTGAGGCAGGAGTTCTAGAGTTTAGGGGAATAGTGACTGAAGGCATGGTCACCGATTGTGGTGTTGGGGAAGAGCAGCAGATCTGCGCCAGCTGAGAGAAGGGAGGAATGGGCAGAGGAGTGGGGTACAAATCAGATGGATTGATGCAAGGAGGCAGGGAGCAATCTTGTAGAAAGGTCACAGGAAATCTTTAAATCCAGTGACTACAATATTGTATTGAAGTTGTAAATGCAACTTTGATGGCCAGTCTGGTTTCCCACAACTAACTGAATTAAGTTTTAACCAAATGTAATTGTTACCTTCAGTCCCAAGGAGCCCATCTCTCCCTAGGAGAACAAAAAAAATACCAATTAACAGATAAAATAAATAGTGGAGCCATTCCAAATGTAATAAAAGAATTTTGGTGATAAAACATACTAACTTTTTCTCCTTTCACGCCAGGAAATCCCTGTAGAAATTTTAAAACATATTTATAAAACAATTCAAAACATTAATTTCTCTCCCATTGAGAAACGTTGCAGAAGGTGTGATTTTATTTTGCCTTCAGACCGGGAAATCCAATGTGATGTTCGATTCCAAGATCCCCCTGTGAAAAGTCACACACAATCACAACAACAGTAACAACAACAATATTAAGCACTTATATAGTGCCCTTCACATGGGGCAGAGTCTCAGAGTGCTTAACGGTAGCGGAGCATGACGTCGAGCCGGGGATGGGGGTAGGGAGTAGATGACCGTAAGCACGGTTAGAGAGGAAAGTCTTCAGTCATGATCTAAAAGAGGGAAGGAGGGGCAATGTGGTTTCCAAAGAGCCGATGGCATTAAAGATATTAATTAGAAACACTGATCCTAAATTTAGACACCAGATAAAAGACTCTTACGGATCAATACCTTTGTGCACTCACATAGCCTGACATGAAGCGTGCCTTAATTCAGGCCATTTATAGAACTTGTGTTACTGTGTGATTACCTGCCTCCTCCTATTAGTAAGCAATGCATGCACAGAGATAGGCTTCACCACACTCTATCATTGTGCGACAGTCTGTGCGACAGTCTGGGAGGTTTCTCACCTGTCTACCTAGTGCTCCCAGATCACCTGTTGGACCTAGAGATCCTTTTGAACCCTGGAAAAAATTGGCTTGTGGAAGAAATAAATTAAACAAGAAAGATTTTTTCATCAAATGTAGCTGCCCTGGTAAAAACAGATTCTACCCACAAGGGATGGGATGCCTGTCAATGCTTGGCTCCCGGCTGGGCTTCCGCACCTCAGGGGCTGATATTATCACTATTCATGGCTGCATTCTTCAACTCACCAATACGAAACCTTTTCAACCCTCAGCTATCCTTCAAACCCTACATTCGTACCGTGACCGGTTACGCTTTTCCCCACCTCCACAACATTGTTTGCCTCCACAACTGACCCTCACCACAGGCTGCTGAGACACTAATCCACTCTTTCATCAAATTTCATTCCATCACACTTTCATCACATCTTGGCTTGACCATGCCAACTGCAGGCTCTCTGGACTTCCCAGCTCTTCCCTCCACAAACTGCAGATTATTCAAAACACTGTAGCTCGTGTCCACTCCTGCACCAGGCTCCATGAACCAATCACCTTGATCTTAACCGGCTTCACTGATTCCCCATCCCCTAGAGAATCAGGTAAAAAACTCTTGTTCTCACCTTCAAAGCCCTCCATGGTCTTGTTGCCCCTACCTGCCTGACCTCATATCCCCATATCAGCTTGTCCGCTCCCTCCGCTCAGCAGACCTGCTTCAGGTCCCCCGCACTTCCTGCCCCACCATTGGTGGTTGGACATTCGGCATCTCTGCACTCTGGAACTCTATCCCGCAATCCTTCTGCCTCATTCAAGGGCTGTCTAAAGATCTTCCTCTTTGACTGTGCCTTTGCCCACCTTTCCATCCCCACCCTCCACCCCTCCTGATCCCAATTCCCAGCTCGAGTTGAAAAACCTCTGACTGTACAGTGCCCTTGGATGTCTTTCCCACATGAAGGGCGCTATAGAAGTGTAATTTGCTGTTGTTGTTCTTGTCTATTAATTGGAATAAAGTAATAATAATCCTTGCATTTGATCATGTCATCAAAGACATCTCAAAGCGCTTCATAGAATATATTGTAAAGTGAATTGACTGTACTTTGTGGCCGATTGTCGTGGCATTGGAGTTGTCCATCCACAGTGTGGATAGAAGGGGAAGCAAAACAGACAGTAACAGTCTCAACTTCAAGAGTGGCCTAATGATGGTTGATAAATGGGTAACAAGAGAGGTACAGAAAGCCTAGGTCAGATCATCCCACCTTCGTCCTAACAGAGAAATGGTGTCTAAAGAGGGGAAAGAGGGAACACAAATCTACGTATCTCTCAGACTATGCAAAACATCCTTACTCTTCTTCCATTTATTCCTTCGTGTCCTGCTGCACCATCTGTATGTAAGCACTGCGGTCGACCACACTGCAACGTATATCAAACAAAATGTGAGTTTTTGCATGCAAGATGCTAGAACAGAATTAAGTGAAAGCAGGTTATTTCATAAAGTCAGAGAAACAAAGAAAGAATAATTAATTGGTTGCGATTGTGATTTATTCTTCCTGTATTCTCTATCTCTCTCATACACAAAATACATACATACACACAGTCTCTCTCGCTTCAACCCTGCCTCTCTGACATACACTCACGCTCACCAACACTTGCTCTCCCATCCCACTCACACATTAAAGACAGACGTCAGTAGAAAAGTGAATTACAAAATTAAGCAACCATTGTGATGCCATATTTCCATTTCTAAAGTATTGGTTTACTTGGCAGAGTGTTAGCAGTGCCACTCATAAGTATTTGCTGTTGATTTTAAATAATAATGTAAGCTTCACTGGACTGTCTATTCCAACCTGTTCCATGCCTTGATGATTCTTTTTGTTTAGTGAATAACTTTCCATAACAGATTTATTAATTATCAAACATGTGAGCACATGCGATGCAAGATCGTGTCTGGCCTGGTTACGATGACTGGTTGAACGCAATCGATTTTACCAAAAGGTAAGAGATCTAAGAGATGTGAAACTAAGCAAACTATTTTTGCTGCTGGACAGATCTCCAAGGAATGATGCTTTGAACGATACCTACCTCAATTTCTCCTTCTCTAGCCTGAAATAAAGCAAATAATATATATTTAGAGGAACAAAACTTTAGGCTGCAAATAACAGCAATTTCTTAAACATACTGCAATGTCTACCACGAGTCAGTCACAATGTCCCTGACTTCTGGAATTACCTTATTTCTCCTCTCCCAGCCTACAAAACCGCTCTTAAAAACATATTTCTTTAACTGTACATTTGATCAATATTGTTAATTTTTCTTTCCTCTACTCTGTGCTCCCTCCTCTGGGTAATAATTTTCAATGTTCATCCCACATGAAAGGTGTACTTTAGTATTTTAGTTCCTCCTTTCCAGTCTGCACTAAAACAATGGCAATGTAAATCAACATGTAAATCTACACAGGAATGTGTTAAGAAACGTCAACGCATTATATTTTTTAGAGGCTTGCAGCCATTATATAATAATTATTTGAGTTCAAATCCCAGCATTCTGGAACAGAATAGGATCGAGGGATCCGTGTAGACAGAATAATGTATGTAACATCATGGTTCCTGAATAGCGGGAAACATTGGAAATATCATGCTAAGGAAGATCTAGGTCGAGCAATGTAGGATGTAAGTAAGGTCAGATAGATTTGTTTGCTCTTATCTTTTTTTTAGGTAATGTTGCTTGTTTCTTTCCTGAAGAGATTGAATGGGTTTGTGCACATTGCATTGGAGATTGTACCTGTGATAGGAACAGGTTCTTTTTGGTGATTCGAATGTCTAACTCATGCGGAAATCTATCACCATGCTTAAGAATATGCAACCAGCAAAGTGCAAACTAAGAGGTGCACAAACATGTATATTTGGCCTAGTTCGGAGGTAAAAGTAGAACGAATTATAAAATGTAACAAACCTGAGGAAACACAACTGTTGTAAATTCAAATGAACTTGAAAAGGACTTGGAAAAAAATGCATTAAAAAGGACTTTAGGAAGAAACCAACTGTTGATGCGAACAAGCTGACTATCATGTAGGGACATAGGAAAGTATATGACAAGAAATGACCATTGCAATCCATCTGCTTGGTTCAATTTATTCATTAACCCTCTTCTCCCTTATTTAGTGTCTGACCCCATCTTTGCAAAGTGCTCAGAGCCATTATCCTATATGAAAGGCACTATAAAAATGCAAGTTGTTGTTGTAACATAGGGAACAAGCAATCACTAGTCACTCAAAGGTGGTGTCACTGATGTCCCCACAGAACATATTTGGCATAACTTGATTTTCATGAAAACAATTCATGTGAAAAAGTTCTGCAGAGAAACAGCTTCCAAATTAACGTTCAATTTAATTTTTTCAAAAAAATTCTGTGATTTTAACAACAATTTGCACTTATGCAGCAGTCTTCACACGAGGTAGTGTCTTCAAGTGCTTAACAGAGGTGGAGCTTGACACTGAGCCAGGGAGAGAGGGAGGTGACCATAGGCACAATTGAAGAGGAAGGTCTTCAGTTGCTATCTGAAGGGAGGAACACAGAGGGATTAAGCATAAAGTGCCAAGGTTTAGGGCATTGTGGCTAACAGCATGGCTACCAAATGTGGAGTGGATGAGGAATGTGAAGGAGGCTGGAGCTACTTGAGCAAAAGAGGCAGGTAGTGGAGTCGGGTGTAAGCAGGTCAGAGAGGTAGAGAGATGCTAAGGGCATGAAGTGATTTATGCGAGTGTGAGGATCTTGAAATTGATCAGTTCTGTAACAGGGAGCCAGTCCAGCCTGGCAAGAACTGCGATGATCCCTTAAATTTTAAATCAATGATCTTTGGGCTTATTAAGGGAAAATCTCAAAGACATTTCAGGCACCAGGAATCCCCATTAGTAAAAGTTTCTTCCATCAGGCCTAATATTACAGTAATCCTTGCATTAGATGTAACGCCTTATCACATTGAAAAATGCTTCTGTAAAGTGTAGGGACTGTGCATTTGAAGGTGAATGCAGCAGCTAATTTTTTTACGCAGTAATGTCCCACAAACAGCCACAAAATGATTGATCAATTGTGTATCTGGAGCATTGGTGGCCAGGACATTTTGGGAAACTCCCTTCTCTTCAAATGGAGCCATTGGATCTTTAACATCCACCTGAACAGATAGACAGGACCTCAGTTTAACAGTTTCATCCAAAGAACATGAATGCATCTCTAGCACAGCACTGTCAACCTCCATGAGCTCAAAACCCTGACATAGGGTTTGAACTCACAACCTTTTGACTCAAAGCCTATTGACAAGAAGGAGCTGTAAACTCCAGACTAACCATCATCTCAATTATCCTCTTGGTTGCAGCAATTCCTGCATCATCTGGAACTACTAAGTAGTCTTTGCGATACATTTCCACAGGCGAGCTGGCAATCTGCCTGAGCTGGTTTTCAATGGATGCTGAGCTTGTGGCAATGACAAATATCTTTATGCCATCTGCCTTTGCTTCTTCAACTGCCTCTTGGATGCCACCACAGGGACTGCCAGTGTAGTGCCCATCAGTCAGGACCAGAGCGTACTTCAGACTGGCTTTGCTTGAGGCCCTCGTCTTGATCTGCTCTGTCATGTTCTTCAAAGCGCAGTCAATAAACGTCCCCCGACCAATGTAACGCACTGCATTCAACTTGGCGAGAAAGGCTGCATTGTTGCTGGTTATCTCACTGAAGATACTGACACGATCAGAAAAGTGTAGGCCGCCATATTCCCACTTAATCTGACTGGTACTGAGAGCAACTTGCTGTAACTTAAAGAGAAAGTTAACGAGAAAGGCTTTGAGTTTGTCCACAAGGCTGCCGCTGGGCATGTCTCTCAGCGCCACACTTTCTGAGGTATCCATGACAAAATACACATTGATCAGACATTCGTTGTTCCCTGAAATGACAACAACAAATTATTCTTATTCAACATGTTCAATATGTGCACAAGGGCCTCGATCTCCATCAGGAGGAAAATATTATTCCTGGGCTGGGGCAAGCTCAGAATATCCCCCTTTCGTAAAATCCAGCCCAGAAAACAAATATTGTATTCGGCAAAGAAAATACAGTCAACTCCTGATAACTCATTACTCTAAGGGAAAAGGGCTCAGTGGTGAGGTATCCGGAGTTAGGCATTTGTAGAATTAAATTAAAAAATGTGCCCAGGATATTGACAGCACGATGATTCAAGTGGTAGTGACAAGTTAAGCCAGGGATGAGTTCTCAAGAGTTTACTATACTTAGAACACACTGTACGGTTACAATTTAAAAGGAAAAATCTACCGCTTCAAAGAAATGGCAGTGTAAAAGCTTCTGTTGAGCTGGCATGTGAGGCAGAGGGGGCAGGAGAAAGAGAGGAATGCAAATCTTACACCCAGTCACTGTGTAATATTTTCCCACTCTGTTTAGTGTGAATCTTGTCCTGGTCAATTTCACATTAAAACATCACTATGTGCAGCAATAATTAACGCTGGGGTTAATTACTGAACACCAAAAATAGTAGCTCTGTGTATCATTACTATGCACACATCAATTTTGATCAATTTATTGCTCATCACTAACTGCCTAATACGATGGTGGTGGTTCTTCTCTCTGAACAGTTCTGGTGATTCGGACTCTTGTTGGTTTTGGTGAAGGTAAAGAGCAGCATGACTTTATTTAGCATGGTGACTGCCCATGTACTGTCAGCTTAACTCACTTGGTTGCACTGTTGCTTCAGGGTCAGAAAGATGTTGGTTCAAGCCCCACGTCGGGGGACTTTGATCCACTGATGCTCTAGTACAGTCCTGGGCAGTTCACAAAAGGAATACTGATTGAAATCAGAAATCATAACATGGGGGTAAATTAATGTAAATAGTAATTCGTTCATCACCTAAACTGTTTGATAAATGAGATTTTTAAAGGGGAACTGACTTCACAAAAAAGAGCTTGGCAAATTATTTTGTGTCTCTGGAGGAGAAAGAAGAAGTGTTGTGTTTTATTTTGTGATTTTCATCGCTCCCAAACTAGGCAGCCATGCCACTCAATGACATTTACATTGTTATGTTCCCTAGCTTTCCAAACCATCTTTACAAAGGCCTTTAATATACTGTATCACACCTACTAGGAGGATCGAGGAAATAGTTGGCTTACCATTTTGCAGGAGGTTTGCAGGACTGCGAAAGGCGTTGGTGTAGGAATTTGTTATTGTGTATTCTGTGAGCACCTGAGCAGATGACTTTAATGCCCAAGAAGATAAAATCATCATCACTGTGAAGCAAATGCCAGCCATTGTGCCACAATCCAAGGATCCTACAGGTTCAGCAAAGAGGTGGGATTAGATCAGGTGGCTCGTGTGCAAAAAAACACCCGCGTGGATTTGATGGGTCGAATGATCTGTGTCTGAACTGAAATGCATTATCCTATTCCTAGCGGTGGATTTTTGTTATGTAAGTGTATAATAATCATAATCCTTGCATTTGACATAGCATCTTATCACATCTTTGAGATGTCTCAAAGCACTTCACAGAATAAACTGTAAAGTGAATTGAGTGTATTTTGTGGGAAAAATGCGGCAGCCAATTGTGCCGGTATCAAGGGATATGGGGCAAAGGTAGGTAATTGGAGTTGGGGTACAGATCAGCCATGATCTAATAGAATGTCGGAAGAGGCTCGAGGGGCTGAGTGGCCTAATCCTGTTCCGATGACACTGGGAGAAACTCCCTTCACTTTTCCAATTGTGCCATTATCACCAAACCCAGTGCTGATCTTGTGCTATAGTCCACAATCACAATTGAGTTCTTGGTTGAATAAAACATTAATTGAGGTGCCATCTGCCTATACAGATGTTAAAGATCAAACAGCACAATTTGAAAAGGGAAGGGAATTTCTCCTGGTGTCCTGGTCAATAATGCCCCAACTATATAAAACAAATTCATTCACTTTATGGTTTCTAGGAAATTGCTGTGTAGCAATTGGATCCACTACACTACAAATCGGATTCACGACAGTAACTGCACAAGTGTATTGATACAAGACGCTACATCAAATGCAAGGATTATTACGAACATCTTCTCCATGTACTGTCGTGATCTAATTCTTTCTTGAATTTGCCGATACAATGTGCCTCCAGCTCGTTCCTGGGTAAACTGTTGTACAGGTTTCACCATTGCCTGTATAAAGTAATTCAATCTGAACTATCTGTTCATCTTCCCTTTCTGAGCTCAATTCCATCTCCCCATGTTGTAGACTTAATAACCAAACAGCGGTCCTCATGTGAAAATGCCTCATTCCAGTGTTTAGTGAAGATGCCAACTTTGCTGGAAACAGGATTCCTTCTGTCTAATAAGATTATTTGCATGTTAAAGTCTGTGAGCATGAGTGGCTGAAATATTACAATCATTCCTTATAACTAGTTTCATAAATGAAACATGGGTTTAAAATTGATATGAAAATGCTCAAAAACTTTTTATTTAGCTGGACTTTTAATTTGAATTAATATTGTACCACAATTACATCACAAATCTGTTATGTTTCAACCTGCTTATTTGCTCCTTGTTGTAACTCAGAAATGAACAGTATTAAAAAATATTAAACAATCTTGTATGTTTCTTTTGGTCAGCCAGGTGTTTGACACACTCAGCAATTCATTCACCAAGCTCCAGAGTCTCCAACCCAAATTGTAGAGAATTTCACGTGTGCATGGAAATCTTCATTCTGTAACTAAAACATGCAATATACAACATTCAGCACCCTGGAAGGTTTTGTGATCTATACAATGCATCTATACAACAGTTTTCATTGGCAGCAATTAAATATGTAAACATTATTGCATTTGAAAACATAAAGCTTAGTTGCAGACATAATCTGCAAATTTACTCTTTCAGCACCTTGGGACGTCCTCCCGGCATGAAAGGCACTTTACAAATGTAATTTTGCATTTTGTAATCTTTGCAATCAGAGAAAATCTATCTAAGAACACTTACCAATAAATGGCTTTGATATAAGTGACAAGTTGTCTCACTGTTTGATGGTATTAGGAGAAGACATCTGAACTGCTCCTGGGCACTCCACCAATGTTCAAACCTACCTTAGAAATCCTGCTACTTTTATGTTCATCTGGGCTTGTCTGGGCTTGAGTATGTCATCTGATTTATCAGAGACATGATAGAGGAAGTGAAAGGTGCTGATACTGATGTCCTGAGGTGATATCCCAGGAGTTACGTTAATGACTGGCACAGCCTCAACTGCTAATGAAGCACTCCTGCTTCTCCATAAAACACAGTAAAATGTTTACCCTTCATTGGGGCTTTGCATTGGAGATTTACACTACAGTATCTTGATGCCTGACCGCCAAAACCTATCCTATAGATCGCTTCCCTTTTCATGGAGTCATGCAGCATATTGGTTAGAGCACTCAACTCGCAAAGCGAGAGGACAAGGGTTTGATTCCCAGGCAGGGCAAAACGATAGACAAGTTTCCTTACTCCATACGCCTCTGTTTACCTAGCAGTAACTAGGAACCTGGTTGTTTGTCGATTGGCGGATCGCTTTTCCGAAGGTAATAATCACCTCAATTTTTAAAAAATAATAATAATTTGGTCACTCAATCCACAATTGTTTGTGGGACGCTGCTTTGTGCAATTGGCTGCTGTGTTTTGCCTACAAGATATACCGTCAATTTGCGCATAGCAGTGTCCCACAAACACTTGTGGTTTGAGTGACAAAATCATTATTTGTTTTTAGGATGGGGGAGAGGATTATTATCCCCAGAAAACCAATCCACCAATGAACTAACAACCGGATTCCTACTTACTGCTAGGTAAACAAAGGCGTGTGGAGGAAGGAAACTTGCCCAACATTTCACCCTACCAGGAATCAAACCTGGGTCTCTCGCTTGCGAGGTGAGTGCTCTAACCACTGAGCTACAGGACTCTATAGGGCCTCATAGCCGAACTTGCTGACTTCTGTAAATAAAAACTGGAATATATAAACTGAGCTTTCCCAATAAGTGTGAAATCCCAGTGCTCAGAGTACAAATGAGTCAGACAGACCTGGAAGGACTAGGGTTTGCATTCTCAGCCTGTGCTGATTTAGCTAATCGCCACCGGAGGCAGTTTAATTGGCTTCAGTGCCCTTGGGATAATGAGGGAAAATCAGCTCGAGTTCCTGCTCCAGGTGACTTTCTGGTGAAAAGCATGCAAGTTTGAGTAGGGGATCAGTCACGACCATGACAGGTTAAATAGCCTGCGGCATGAGAGGTAATGAGAGGTGTTAAGTGGATAAAGGTTGAATTATTTCTAATCTGTCTCCCTTTCCCTTTGATGCAATTTACAGTCTCACCACAAATCAGAGAGTGTTTCCGTCCTGCCCATTGCAGCATTGATTCTTTAAGACTTAGAATGTGATGCCCTGGGACAGGCAGACAGACTGGTATCTATAGAGGTACTAAGGAGTCCTATAGGGTATTGGTTAGAGCCCTCGCCTCACAAGCAAGAGGACTCGGGTTTGATTCCTGGGCAGGGCAAAACGTTAGGCAAGTTTCCTTACTCCATATGCCTCTATTTAGTTAGCAGTAAGTAGGAAGCTGGTTGTTAGTTGAATGGCGGATCACTTTCCGGGGGTCATAATCCATGACTGTTTATAATAATAATAATAATAATAATCCTTGCATTTGATATAGCGCTTTTCACGTCGGGAGGACGTCCCAAAGCGCTTCACAGAACACACTGTAAAGTGAATTGACTGTATATTTGTGGGCGAACGCGGCAGCCAATTGCGCACAGCAATGTCCCACAAACAGTCGTAGATTGAAAATGACCAATTTATTATTGTTTTTGGTTTTTGGAGGGATTATTATTAGGCGTGTGGAGTAAGGAAACTTGCCCAAGGTTTCGCCCTGCCTGGAATTGAACTCAGGTCTCTCGCTTGCAAAGCGAGTGCTCTAACCACTGAGCTACAGGACTCCACAGAGTTTGTGGGACACTGCTGTGCAGTCAGTTAGCTTTACAGTATATTCTGTGAAGCTCTTTGAGATGTCTCAATGATGTGAAAAAGCTCTATATCAAATGCAAGGATTATTATTTATTCAATGCACAAGTACTTTTTTGCTATGTTCGTTTTGGTGCTTGTAGACTTTTTGAGAATTTCCCTAGAAAAAGGGGTGAGAGCGGGGCAGTGGGACTTGTTAGGTCTTTCAAAGAGCCGGCACAGACACAATGGGCCGAATCTGTGCTGTAAAATTCTATGATTCTATGATATCTTTATTAATAAGATCTTCATTGACGCTTGAACACATCAGTGGCAGAAATTCAACCTCAACCCTCAAAAGCAAATCCTGCTCTTGGGCAGTGACTGCTCTTCCTCCAAATACATTTTGTTACAATTTACAAGTTGGTCACTGTGTTGTCACTGTCAATACCTGATGAGCTTGCTTATAGCAAGTGCTAGATTTCAGAGAAGTGAAGTCAGTAATATTACATTGTACGATCATGTCGGACAAGAAGCAAATTCAACAACAACCACAACTTGCATTTTTATACCGTTCACATGGCATAACATCACAGAGCACTTCATGGTGTCAAGTAACAAAGTGGGCAATGTCAATTACTCATTTGTTTTTTGTCAACAAAATGTTGACTGTTTATTGCTGGAATGGAGAATGTTCTACCCTTCAGCCAGGATAGA